CTGACAAAGCATTCAGAAGAGACCAAAATAAGACCAAAAAAATCTAATGAGGTAGCCAAAGCATTGATGTGGCACATGGAATAAATTATGGAGTAGTTTAGGATCAGAAATTTTTATTAGTGATGTCAGAGGTTTCTATATTAAAATCTGTGCTTAATAAGATGAAAAAGCTCATAAATGTAAATCTAATACTTGCCCACAGAAGGAAGTCCAAATTCATCCTATTTTTTAAGTAGGAAATTGACATTAACATGGAAACAATTTAATACAGTAAACAACTTTCACAGGTCTTTGCTTGTAAGAAACTTGCAAATTTGCTGGATTTGGAGTTCGTAGTAATCCGTGGTATAAGAGGAGAACATGATGAAAAGCGAGGTAAGATGGAGTAGGAGATGCGTGTGAAGCCATTGTGTTAGACTCTGGGCTACCGGGGCGATACGCTGTGGTCCTCAATGGTCATTAATCTTCCTTCTGGCGGAGAACGTCTGTACTTTTTCAGAGTTCACAGGAAGGTGTAGGTACACACTGAAGCTTGAGTTGTGAGGGTCAGCGGATGGGTTTTGAGTTTTAACGTTAATGCTTGCTGTGTGACCTTGAGTACATTAATTTTGAATAATTAGGTTTTCTGGTCTTCATGTATAAGATCGGACCGAAGCCTGTCTTTATTCATTATTCAGACTACAAATAATGTATCTAAAACAGCATACCACCCAGCCCCTGAATAATACGCAGTACCTCTGCTGTCACCGTCAGTCTTTTTAGGCCCTTTCTAAGGCTCTAAATTGGGGATTATAGTACTGTCCTGCTCACAGTGATGCTGTGAAAATTAAATGAGAGTCATACATAAATCTATCTGACGTGGCAATGAGTATATTTACTTGAAGCAACTATATATCACACACATGTAAATCTTTAATAAATTGCACTTATTTCACAAAAGAAAGCAATGAATTCTGCCGGGAGTTAGTAGGAGGTGAAAGTTAGTCAGGAAATGTTCTGTAAAGAAATGAGCACTGAGTGTTAAAGCCCTGCGTCTTGAAGATTTCATGAGTGCAGCATCAGGTGATGTGCACAGTGGTTCAGAGAGCGCGCCCTCTGCAGCCTGGGGGACGGGGGGGTCGGTGGGGAGGCCCTGCTGAGACAGCTCATTCCACGTGGGTCAGCACACCTTGCAGAGAACACAGGTCACCGCAGATGTGAACGAACCTCAGGCCGTGGGCACGCAGCTCTCAGTCAAGAGTAGTAGATTGTCGCTGTAGGAAAAATAACTCAGAAGTTCCAAGTCATGTTTGTACATAAAGGGGTTTTCTATAAAGATGGTTGAAGTAATAAAAGTCCTAGTAATTATTTTGAGTTTATTTTTGTGTATGGTGTTAGAAAGTGTTCTAGTTTCATTCTTTTACAAGTGGTTGACCAGTTTTCCCAGCACCACTTGTTAAAGAGGTTGTCATTTTTCCATTGTGAGCTAGAGAAACACCACAGTTGTTCTGACCAACACGTTCACTGGGATCTGATTATGGTTTGGTGTAGACCTGGAAGCAACCACAGCAGAGCATCAACTGCACGCTGAAGAAAACACATGGTTACAAAACCGCCTTAAGGTTAATTACTAGGACTTTTTTTTTCCCATTTATTTTTATTAGTTGGAGGCTAATTACAATACTGTAGTGGTTTTTGCCATACATTGACATGAATCAGCCATGGATTTACATGTGTTCCCCATCCCGATCCCCCCTCCCGCCGCCCTTTTTTCCTTGCCTCCTTTGTATGAAAATAAGGTGTCCATAGGTCTGTGGATTTATCTCTGGTTTTCTGTTTTGTTCCATTGATCTATATTTCTGTCTTTGCGCCAGTGCCATACTGTCTTGATGACTGTGGCTTTGTAGTAGAACCTGAAGTCAGGCGGGTTGATTCCTCCAGTTCCACTTCTTCTTTCTCAAGATTGCTTTGGCTATTTGTGTATACAAGCAACTCCTGCAGCTCAATTCCAGAAAAATAAAAGACCCAATTAAAAAATGGGCCAAAAAACTAAACAGACATTTCTCCAAAGAAGATATACAGATGGCTAACAAGCACATGAAAAGATGCTCAACATCACTCATTATTAGAGAAATGCAAATCAAAACCACAATGAGGTACCATTACACGCCAGTCAGGATGGCTGCTATCCAAAAGTCTACAAGCAATAAATGCTGGAGAGGGTGTGGAGAAAAGGGAACCCTCTTACACTGTTGGTGGGAACGCAAATTAGTACAGCCACTATGGAAAACAGTGTGGAGATTCCTTAAAAAGCTGGAAATAGAACTGCCATATGACCCAGCAATCCCACTTCTGGGCATACACACCGAGGAAACCAGATCTGAAAGAGACACGTGCACCCCAGTGTTCATCACAGCACTGTTTATAATAGCCAGGACATGGAAGCAACCTAGATGCCCATCAGCAGACGAATGGATGAGAAAGCTGTGGTACATATACACCATGGAATATTACTCAGCCATTAAAAAGAATTCATTTGAATCAGTTCTAATGAGATGGATGAAAATGGAGCCCATTATACAGAGCAAAGTAAGCCAGAAAGATAAAGACCATTACAGTATACTAACACATATATATGGAATTTAGAAAGATGATAACGATAACCCTATATGCAAAACAGAAAAAGAGACACAGATGTACAGAACAGACTCTTGGACTCTGTGGGAGAAGGCGAGGGTGGGATGTTCTGAGAGAATAGCATTGAAACAAGTACACTATCAAGAGTGAAATAGACCACCAGCCCAGGTTGGATGCATGAGACAAGTGCTCAGGGCTGGTGCACTGGGAAGACCCAGAGGGATGGGATGGAGAGGGAGGCGGGAGGGGGGATCGGGATGGGGAATACATGTAAATCCATGGCTGATTCATGTCAATGTATGGCAAAAACCACTACAGTATTGTAATTAGCCTCCAACTAATAAAAATAAATGGGAAAAAAAAGTCCTAGTAATTAACCTTAAGGCGGTTTTGTAACCATGTGTTTTCTTCCGCGTGCAGTTGATGCTCTGCTGTGGTTGCTTCCAGGTCTGCACCAAACCATAAACAGATCCCAGTGAACGTGTTGGTCAGAACAACTGTGGTGTTTCTCTAGCTCACATAGATACTGTTTTTATCTCTTCATTTTTCTGTGTTCAGTAATAAAACTCTTTATGATCCAAAAAGTTAGTTTTAAAATTTAGACTTATTTTTTGCTGTATAGAAGCCAGCTGAAGTGTAAATAGAGTGATTCTAGAATCGAAGCTTTTTACTTAATTTAATGAGATGTTGAGTAATTCATTTCCATTGATTCATTCCATTGAATCATAGTAGGCATCATTTAATGCCTACTATGTATAAGGAACAGAAATGATCAATGCTTGTAACTCTTACATGGAAAATAGCATTCACACACAGAGGTATCCACATCCCAGTTTGATGACTTTATTCTTTCATTCATGGGCTCTCTCTTCAGTCAGTCAGTATTTCTTGACTACCTAGGTGTGGGTGCCAAGGCAGAAAACAGAGCAAAGGTTTCAGAGGAAATTGTGTTTAGATCAGAGCCAGGTGGCTGCCCGCTGCTGGCTGAGGCGGGCATGGCTCCCATCCGGGGAGAAGTCCTGAGTAGGTGAGCACAGGCGCCCCTCAGGTTGTAGGTTCTGGAGCTTTAAAGAAAAGACTTCCATTTTCTCTGTAAGAAAGGGATGTGGCAGGTTGACTGAAGAAAATATGAATCTGTGTGTTGCCAAGCTTCGCATGCAGGCATCAGGAGTTTCCAGACAGTTTTTGGTGACCACTTGAGGTCTGTCGTCATGAATTTAAAGCAGAACACATAGCAGGGTTTCTCGTTACTCAGCAGTAAGTGTGGATAGGGAGGGGGTGGTGGGCTTCAGTATTTGCTGTTTTTACCAAGCAGTTAAAATGAAGGGGTAGTTGGGGGAGTTGGGGTCTTTTCAAGGGGAGTTATCATGGTGAGCTGTCAGTACGAGGTGGACGGAGTAGTTAACAGGGGAGTAGAAATCTTTTGAGTAGGTGAACTGACAGGCTGGGTAGCAGTCATTCAAGAAGAGGTTCTTTGGAATTTTTCCTAGAGCAGAGGTCAGCACTCTTTTTCTGGGAAGGGCCAGAGACGGAATGTTTTAGGATTGAGGATCAAGAGGCAAAGTGGAGGGTATCCTGAAATACTTGTGTAATGAGACAAGACTGATTTACACTGAGTTCTGTACTGGTGAAATTCGTAACTTAGTAACGGAGTGCAGTTTTTTGTAAGATAGGCCTACTAAGGAGAAGAATGAGTTCCTTTTGAGGGGAGAAGTAACATTTCGCCTAACTGAGGTTCAAAATGAGTGCTCTCCGCCATCAAAGTCAATTGCAGATGTTGGTCTCTTGATGCTCGTCTGTGAGATTTTACGTGTCTCATCTTTGAAAATACTTTCACACTGATAAGCACCCTCAGATACTGACCTCAGTCCCTCACAGTCATTGCTTGAAAGACCGCTGTCACGTTCTGTTAGAGCCTTCTCTTTACGTCCCACTTCAGCATGTTGTCACTTTGCAGGTTCATGAGTTACAGTTGATGGTTAGGTGGAAGCACATCAGTTGCAGGATTAAATGGATTTTGAAACAATGTCAGTTTTCCTTGCTCCTGTGTTGAGGTCCAGAAATGCTTCTGGGGTTGCGGTCTGAGTTCAGAAAATTTGAACACAAGTTTGTCTGGAAAGGGACCTTCAACAACATGGGAGGGTATAGAGAGCCACTTGAGGTTCCATAATTCGGATGACATTTAAGTGCTCACGGATGATAAAAGTTCTTCATAAAAGAAGACTGACTCACTGTTTTCTGATATTGCTCATTTCACACCCAGCATTGGGTGTCATTATGGACACAGTGTGTATGAAGTATGGGGATGACACCCAGCACACATTTACTAAGTCTACAGCATACTCTTACAACGACACTGTTTTACTCATTCCTTTCTATTGTAGGTGAAGAGCGATTATATGTTAGAGATCGCTGACCAAGTGGACCAGGACATTGCACTTAAGTTGGGTTGTCTAGAAATACGGTAAGAAGATAACTATAGACATCAAGGTCTTTATTCAGCAATGTTTTCCTTTATTTTTTTCTAGGTATTTGCTTTTTCCTCATAAAGATTATCAGTAAAATACTGAATAAAAACTTCGGTAAAATTTAAGAATACTCTGAATTATGTTGAATTGCTAATTCCAGAGTCTTTTAAGATGATATTTCATGGTAGTTAGAATGGAATGATAAGAGCACAAGCGTGTTAGCAAGTGTATGGCCGAGCTCCCCAGGAGAACCTTCTGTGCTGGAGGACGTGTCTGTGAGAGCCCCGTGCCAGCCGCCAGCTGAGGCGGGTACCGGACACTCAGACGTGCAGTGGACTGCTCTAAGCTTGAACGTGAACTTGAACCTGTGTCTAATGGCTGCCGCTGTGGGGAATGGGAAGCCGAGAATGCATTTCTTATTTCCGGTAGCATTTGTTGTATATTCTGTGCCACCGTTTTAAACTTTGAATAAAAGAATATTTCTACCTTTGTCAGATATAATTTTAATTAAAATTTATCCCAGGCTGCCAGTTTAAGATGAGTTGGTAAAATTAGCTAAAAGTTGATTATGTGTACTCAAAACAGTGATAATTTTCCCAGAAGATCCCTGTTTTTTGTTTTTTTTTTTTTTTTAGATCCCTGTTTTTTATATTGTATAAGGTTATGAAATAACAGTTCCTGTAAGACTCACAGATCATTAAGTATAACTCTCAGCAACTTCATTAGCATTTGTTTTCAACCTTAATTGTATATCCAGGGGTTGGGGGGTGGTGGGGGGGTGATCTCTCACTGGTCTCCTCCTTTACAGTTTTCTCTTGGAAAGCAAACTTGGATCCTTTCCTTCAGTGTGTTAATTGATATATGCTGCCTGATGGAGGAGGAGTAATGCGGAGAATCGAGTTTATTGTTTACTGGTAGTTTGTCAGAATGTTTGTGACTGAGCTGTGCAGCTGTTTTTAGTCATTTAACATGGCAGATGCTCTCCAGGCAGATCTGTGAGTGTCTCTCTTCTCTGCTTCAGGCGATCGTACTGGGAGATGCGCGGCAACGCCCTGGAGAAGAAGTCTAACTACGAAGTGCTGGAGTAAGTGTGGCGTTCAGGTCTGCCTGTGCATGTTCAGAGTCGAGTCATTTTTCAGACTTAGATTTTATTAGTTTATCTTTCCTTACTTAAAAAAAAAACTATTATTGAATCTAAACAGTACTGTGTCTAAAATTTTTATATCTGAAAGCGGAAGGTTTTATTAAGAAAAGAATTCTTGATGACATTAATCATTAATTGAGTTAGCAGACATTTAAATTTGTTGATAAATGTCTTAAGGCTAATGGTCTTGGACTTGTTAACACATAAATAATAAACTTTTCTGTCTCTGTAGATTTAACCATATTGGGATGGAGTTTCACTTCTAATTTATACTGAATTGTTTTTATTTGTTTTCTCTAAGTTTATTAAGGTTTTTTTTTTTTTTTTTGCTTAGTTAAAATATGGGAGTTATTTGTTGCTCATGTATCAGAGTATTTAGGATAACTGAACGTTTTCCCAGTAGTGAAATTAGTGGGCATTACACTATTAGATTGTTTAAAATGCATAAAAGACAAAGTGGGGCTTATGTCTTGGGAGGCTGAAAGTTCTGCAAATTGTCTGTGGATAATTAATTCAGCAAAAATTGTTGGTATTTGTTATTTCCAGTTTTATTTTCATTAGCAGTGGTGCAACTTTTTGCTAGCACCTTTTCCTGCCATATTATTACTGAAATTCTTGTGCTATTTGGAGGATGTTACTGCAGTGAAGTGAAAGGTTGTCCATAAGACTTGACATGGCAGGTCAGCCAAGCTGTGTCACACTGTGAAAATGTAATCTGCCATCATTTTGGAAACAAGGTTTTACAGGGGAGGTATGCTCATTTAAAATAAAAGTAGAGGTGAATGTTTGGGGGAATTAGTCTTGAGCAGGTAGAACCGTTTGAGATGATAGCTAGTGGTAGTAGATGGGATAGTTATTTTTGCAATTACAGGAGCCTTTTTTGTATCAGTTGTGACAAGTGAGTTAACACCTGGAGCGGTCTGTCTTGTTTTAGTTTGAATTTATCACTTGACTTTTGAACCTAATATATTTCATTGGTGTACTAAATATTTGTGGTTGTGTGTTTATGGATACACATGTTCCATATGTTGTACCTCTTAACAAATTATAAATAAGGACAGATAAGGATTGTGCCATTTATTTCTTCAAGCTTTTCATGCCAGCCGTTTTGTGTTCTGTATCTGACAGTGACTTTGGGGGACTGGACTGTCTCCATCTGCTTCCTGAAGCCCCCAGGTGGCTGCTCAGGGGGCTCCGGCGGTGGTGGTGGTGGGGGTTTCTGGTGAGAGCCAGGGCGTGAGCGGCAGGACTGGACCTCCCTGGGTGCCTGCTCAGCCCAGGCGCCGCATCCCCACCTGTAGGCTCTCTTCTGCCTCCAGCTCTGTGGGTGTGTCGGGAGGAGCCCTGCAGACCTGCTTGTTTATCACTGTGTTGGCTGAACACTGTCTTGGAGCTCAGCCTGTCTTCTGATAGCAGGGCCCTTTTTCTTAAGCACATTGTTTAAGAATTTCTTTTTTAATGTGTCTTTGGTGGTGAAATCCTGCTTTTGTCATCTTGTCATTTCCCTTATTTTGCATTATTCTTGGAAGGTAGCTTTACTATAATCACAGTTCAGTCGCTAAGTCGTGTCAAACTTTGGAACCCCATGGACTGCAGCATGCCAGGCTTCCCTGTCCATCACCAACCCCTGCAGCTTGCTAAAACTCATGTCCATTGAGTCGGTGATGTCATCCAACCACCTCATCTTCTGTCATCCCCTTCTCCTCCCCCCTTCAATCTTTCCCAGCATCAGGGTCTTTTCAGATTAGTCAGTTCTTCGCATCAGGTGGCCAAAGTATTGGAGTTTCAGCTTGAGCATCAGTCCTTCTGATGAATATTCAGGACCGATTTACACCTTTAGGATGGACTGGTTTAATCTCCTTGCAGTCCAAGGGACTCTCAAGAGTCTTCTCCAACACCACAGTTCAAAAGCATCAATTCTTTGGCACTCCGCTTTCTTTCTAGTGCAACTCTCACATCCATACATGACTACTGGAAAAACCACAGCTTTGACTAGATGGCCCTTTGTTGGCAAAGTGATGTCTCTGCTTTTTAATATGCTCTCTAGTTGGGTCATAACTTTTCTTCCGAGGAGCAAGCGTCTTAATTTCATGACTGTAGTCACCATCTGCAATGAATTTGGAGCCCCCCAAAAATAAAGTCTGTCACTGTTTCCATTGTTTCCCCATCTATTTGCCATGAGGTGATGGGACCAGATGCCATGATCTTAGTTTTCTGAATGTTGAGTTTTAAGCCAACTTTTTCACTCTCCTCTTTCATTTTCATCAACAGGCTCTTTAGTTCTACTTCACTTTCTGCCATAAGGGTGGTGTCATCTGCATGTCTGAGGTTATTGATACTTCTCCCGGCAATCTTGATTCCAGCCTGTGTTTCATCCAGCCCAGCATTTCTCATGATGTACTCTGCATATAAGTTAAATAAGCAGGGTGACAATATACAGCCTTGATGTACTCCTTTCCCAATTTGGTACCAGTCTGTTGTTCCCTGTCTAGTTCTAACTGTTGCTTCTTGACCTTCATACAGATTTCTCAGGAGGCAGGTCAGGTGGTCTCTTGAAGAATTTTCCACAGCCACAGGGTCAAAGGCTTTGGCATAGTCAGTAAAGCAGATGTTTTTCTAGAACTCTCTTGCTTTTTGGATGACCCAGTGGATGTTGGCAATTTGATCTCTGGTTCCTCTGGCTTTTCTTAATCCAGCTTGAACATCTGGAAGTTCACGGTTCACATACTGTTGAAGCCGGGCTTGGAGAATTTTGAGCATTACCTTACTAGCATGTGAGATGAGTGCTATTGTGCAGTAGTTTGAGCATTCTTTGGCATTGCCTTTCTTTGGAGTTGCAATGAAAACTGACTTTTTCCAGTCCTGTGGCCACTGCTGAGTTTTCCAAATTTGCTGGCATGTTGAGTGCAGCACTTTCACAGCGTCATCACTCTATTCACAATTCTAGTCTAATTGTGGTCTTTTCTCTGTACTGTTTCCTGGGTTCTATCTTCTACTGCAGCTGTTGATCAGCCCTTCCAGGGCTGGGGTCGCGGTGTGGCCAGGGGTGGTGCTCTGTGCTCACTGAGGATGGGTAGCCAGGGCATCCGGTGACTCAGCACCGCCCTTTCTACTGGTTTTGCTAGTAGCCTAGAGTCACTTAGAAGTGTAAATATTTTTTCTCAGTATGGAAAAGAATTATACACGAGTGCAGAATGTTACTTGTTCTTTATTAGTTTATCCTGGGTTCTCTTTTTCCTTGCCCATAAGGAGAAAAACTGAAATAGTCCATATAGCTTCTTAGTTTCTGCCAGAAAATTTATGGACAATCTCAGTAATTTATAACATAGTGAACCTTCAACTTTACCACATTTCAAAATAGCTATTTTCAATTATGAAAAAAAAAAAATAAGCCCCAACTTTGGAGAGTGGGAAAAACACAATCTAAAACTTTTTGTACTTTTTCTTTAAGCCAACTAAAGAGTTAATCAGTGTTTCTTTCTATGTCTTTCCCACTCTGGAAGAACCATGGTGCCTTTTCTGTAGGCAGAGGGGAACCCCAGCCCCCAACCCCAAAACTTGGCCTCCTGGGGTCTTCACAGTGCAAGGGCGCATTCTGGAGTGCACACAGACGGTTCTTTTACTTATGTTTCTGATAAATCAGAGACAGGAGTCAGATGGGATGTGTTAAGAAAAATGTTTTGTTACCCAACTTAAAAATGGCATTGCTAACAATGACAGATGAAACCAAAATAATACAGTGTTAGAATTATGGTTCCTAATGTGACATTGTAGAAGCAAGACTTAGGTACCGATAATTCTTCTCCACAGTACAGAATTGTACTGTGAACGTATTTTAAGTAAGTCACGTAACTTTCAGTTCTGCTCATTTCCTCATGAAGTGGTTTGCTTTTGAAAGAAAGGTGTCTTGCTGTAGTCGTTTGTGTAACTGTTTCTTCTCTGTTAGACTAAGCTGTGTTGATGTAGGGAGCTCCTGGTATTTCTGGCACTTAGCAGTATCTCCTGCTTATTAGATATTCCATCGGTATTTCCTCAGTAAATTGTGATTTAAAATTAGCCAAGGTTAATTCTAATTGTGCATTGTTTTCATTTCTTTTTTAAATTGTCCTTCTTGTCAGTAGTGATCTAGTGCTTTCTTTCTTTCTTTTCTTTCTTTTCTTTTCTTTTCTTTTCTTTTCTTTTCTTTTCTTTCTTTCTTTCTTTCTTTCTTTCTTTCCTTTCTTTCTTTCCTTTCTTTCTTTCCTTTCTTTCTTTCCTTCTTTTCTTTCTTTCTTTCTTTCTTTCTTTCTTTCTTTTGATCTGGTGCTTTCTTTAGCTGCCTGTGATAATATGTTGATGCAGGGAAAGCTCACAGATTTGGCATGAATTGATTGACAGTGGCTTAACCGGGATAGAAGGTTATTTCTCTTTGTGCCAGGCAGTCAGTGTTCCTCATCACCAGGGCTCCAGGCCCCTTGAATCTTGCCACCCATCCATCGTCCATAGATGCCACCGGATGGCCTCGGGTGAGAGGTGTATTAGGAAGCAACAGCAGTTTCTCCTGAACTTAGAGGATTTTAACATTTATCCATTTGTAAGAGACGGTAAGGTATCATTTTAGAGGTTAAGGGACCTTAGTGGTATTCTTAATGATACCGATTCTTGAGAGTTTGGGGGTGAGGATAAGATAGGGATACTGTATGATAATATGCATTATAGTTATATTTTAAAGTTGATTTTGGTTTGCTTTTTTGCCTGAGCTTTAAATCTGAGAGGAATGATGTCCACAAAGTATTAATTAGTTAAAGCAACAGACAAGGTCTGAATCTTCTCAGAAGTAATGCCAAAGGAGAAACAAATTTATCCTTGACATGAGAATTCATTTATAATAAACTTAATGACTTCCCTCATAGCTCAGTTGGTAAAGAATCCGCCTGCAATGTAGGAGACCCTCGGTTGGGAAGAACCCCTGGAGAAGGGAAAGGCTACCACTCCAGTGTTCTGGCCTGAAGAATTCCATGGACTGTAGAGTCCATGGGGTTGCAAAGAGTTGCATACGACTGAGCAACTTTCACTTTCACTTAACATGTGTGAATAAAGTTTTTCCAGCCTTGGGCCTCCCGAAGCTGGCCCTGGCCTTCCCCGTCTCCATGCATCAGCCTTCCCTTATCACCAGAGCACCTCCCGAGTCTGCTATCCACCCGCCCACCTGCCTGTGTCCCCCCCTTCCTCCCCATTCTGCTCGTGGCAGCATCAGGTCACACCTGCTTCTGCTCAAGACCATGGCTGGTCAGCACGTAGACTAGACTCTCACCAGCCAGCAGGGGCAGCCGTGGTATTTCCAGAGGAGGGGAAACCGCCCCCATGAGGTTCTAGGTCCTTAACACTCCCTCATCTCCTCTCAGCACCACTGTTGTCAGTATTAAGTAGCGTCCCCGTTTCACACATAGGTGTCACCCGACCTCGACCGGCATTAAGTCACCGCCTTTAAGGTCCTTCAGGCATTAAGGTCCATCCTTCTGCAGAGTCGAAGTTCCAGGGCAGAACTCTGCATAAAGCAAGTTCCTGACAAGCAAAACAGGGAGGAAAATGCTCAGGAGTAGCTCTGGGGTGTTAGTTTATCTTTTATGTGCTTATTTTGCCACTTCCCTTAGTGATTAGCTCCCTAATCCTTAGGATGCAAAGTTCATGTCTTGTTAGGAGGCAGCAAGAGAGGGAAGAACTTGGGTGGACACTTTCCCCTTGTTCATATCTGAAAAGATAAGAAAGGGAAGTTATAAGCAGGAGTGATTAGAAGAATGTTTGGCAAGCCAAGAGTTATATGAGTTTGCTGATCAGTAAAACCAGTAAACAGTGTATCATGGGAGCTGAGCAAGGATTTTCTAAGGATGTGCTAAACATCGTCATCACCATCATCATCATAGAATACCAGGACTTAGCAAGGAGTTTGCTGGTTTAGGTCCTAACTAGTAAAGTGTGAAATAGGGGATTAAATGTCTGGATATGGGGTCAACCACATAAACTCTGACTTGTTTTTTGTCGTTTTGTTGTAGTACCTGCTCACTTACAGTTAAGGGCGAAGTCATCCTTGTTTTGTTATATTTTTATTCATTTTATTTTTTTAATGTAAAAGATACCTGTATTTCACTTTTCTCCATGATCCTTTTGTATTTTCTATGTCTCCTGATAATCTTTTGCGTCCAGAGGCTTTGCTTCATTTTACTAGCATGATTGCCACCTAGTGGCCAAAAAGCCTGGTTCACTAAGTATCCAAAGTATCAATAAGTAGAAACTTTGTTGTTCAGTTGCTCAGTCCGTGTCAGACTTTTTGTGACCCTATGGGACTGCAGCACTTCAGGCTCCTCTGTCCTTTGCTGTCTCCCGGAGCTTGCTCAGATTCCTGTGCATTGAGTCGGTGATGCCGTCCCATCATCTCATCCTCTTCATCCCCTTTTGCTTTAGCCTTCAGTCTTTCCCATGAGAAGTAGCCATTCTTTCCACCTGTTTTCTCAGTCAGACTGCCGTGAGGCACTTGTTATTAATGGTTGATTTTGTAGCCTGATCTAAAGAAAATCACTGGGACTTCCAACATGTCCTCACATTCAGTTTTTTTATCTTAGGCCAATCACTTAATTTCTCTTTGTTTTGCTTTCTGTGTGAAACTTAGATTTTAACATCGACTAATGTTTATTTTTAAGGATCATCAGATTTTAGGATTAATCTAAGGTATTTAAGCATCCCTGGTATAACTCAAATCTTTTTCTAATCAGGCTAGCCTACTTTCTATACAAATATAGCATTACCCAGCTGGAATTGAGGTTTATAAGGCTAACTTTCAAAGAGTGTTAAAAAAAAAAACCAGTTTATTTACACATTGTAAAAGAGGCAGTATTTTAGAGGGTTTGCAATAGTTAACGGTTACAAAAAGATTTTCTGCCTAAACCAACTTGTCTCAATGTTTTCTGCACACATTTAGAAAATTACTTGTCCCAACTGTTCCATGACTATGCCAGTCATTTGGAGCTTTAATATATGTATTTCCTTCTTGAATAATGTGTGAAAGGATAAATAATTTAAACTTCTTTTATGTTCTTGCAACAGTGTCATTATGTATACTGATTTGGTGGTATCATTTGTTAATTCACTTCTTTCTGTATTTCAGGAAAGATGTTGGTTTGAAGCGGTTTTTCCCTAGGAGTTTACTGGATTCAGTCAAGGTAATTAGCATCCTCTTTGTCATAATCAGATGACCATGTTAGGCAGATACCTCCTCCGTGCCACGTGGTTTTCCCTCTTACCTGTAAAAGTCTTAATGTAAGAAGCTGACAGTTAACTCTAGTCATATTCATGGAAAGTAGGCTTTTAAAGGTGTAGCTTTCTCCCAGAAAACTATTTTGTATCTCGATTGTGTGTGCACTCAGCTAAGTACAAAACCAGGAGCGTTGTGTTCACAGTGGTGAACGCACCACCTCAGTCTTTACAGTGTCAGGTTCAACTCAGAGAAGTAAAGAAGCAGCAGGTGAAGCAGCCAGAGGCGCAACTCTGTGTGTGTGTGCGTGCGCGTGTGCTTGCTTGCACAGACATGCACTCTGAAGGTCTGTCTTCTCTTGACTGGTGGACGTTCCTTCCTGTTAGTAACTTCTTGCAGAGTGCCAGCTCCTGTCTCTGTTTGCAGCTCCCACCACAGGGGAGGGGACATCGGGGACGTGATGTGTGGCTCCCCAGCCCTTCCAGAGCACGGTCGAGTGCGTTGTGAGAATACAGCTGTGTGTCAAGTTAGAGTCCAGCTCAGAGGAGCTCTGCCGTCTCCTAGCCTCATGGTTTTGGATCTGGTTTCTTACTTCCACAACAAAGGAAATAGTATTTTGTAGGGTTGGTATGGCTACTTAGCACCTCAGGGTGTGTGTGCACATCAGTGTATGTGTTAGTTGCTCAGTCGTGTCCGACTTTGCAACCCCGTGGGCTGTAGCCCGCCAGGCTCCTCTGTCCATGGGCTTTCCCAGGCAAGGATACTGGAGTGGGTTGCCATTTCCTCCTTCAGGGGATCTTCCCGACCCAGGGGTCACACACACATAACACAAGTACCTGTCACTGTGTAATTTATAAACTGTGGAGCTGTGGCTGTTGTTGCTGTGACTTTGTGTCACAGAGGTCACGTTCCACACTGGAGCAGCCATGTGGACACTGTCCCGTCCACTGAGGCCCAAGCACAGTGGTTCAGAAAGCTGGCTCTGGAGCCAGCCTGCCTTGGTGAAGGTTCTGACCCAGTGGCCTTGAGTCGCGTGGGGCACAGAAGCCCGCCCTGTGCGCCCGTCTGCCCTTTGCTGGGTGGGCTGGAGGGGAGATGCTCCCGAATGTCAGACACCGTTCTTCAGGGCATCTGCCCCGTCACTGGGCAGAAGAGCACAATGCCCAGCATAGCCTTGGAAAGCAGGAATGGGTGTGAAAGTGGCTGTGTCACCTTGCTAGTCCCTCCAGTGGTCAAGTGTGAGTCCCGGGGCGGCCTCAGAATTGTGCAGAGTCTGCCCAGAGCCGTGTACAGATAAGCAGTTACCCCAAGAGCTATGACTGCTGGCATTTGGGAGTCCAGGAAGTTATCCTGCTTTCAGAACGGGTCCTCGCGCTCCAAGCAGGCCCCCGCAGGTGCGGGCCCCCGGCGCTGTGATGTGAGTGTCGCCGAGGTGAGGAGTCCCCATGCCGCGGCTTCCCGCCTCCCCCAGACTCACCTGCAGAGGGGCCTGGTCAGCTGACGTCTGCTTCTCCAAGAGCCTCTTTGTGCTGTGTGCCAGTCCCCTGCGTGTCTGGGTTTCCAGAAGACCCTTTGTAGTTGATGCTGACACTGAAGTGCCAAAGTTTACCTTGTATTTGATGAAACTTAAGCTATGCTTGATTGATGGCAAACATGATTGGGGTGTATATGCCTGATTATTAAGAATAATTTATAAGATATTTAAAACCTCTCTCTTTGATCTTAGTGCCAGAGGCACATTTTAAAAAACACCAGACCAGTAAAACTAAGTCAGTGCAACATGAGGGAACTGTCTACAAAATTCTGATTATTACTCCAGAAGTTTCAAGGAGCTGTGGCTGCTGGGGGTAGGGGAATGTAAGTGTGGCGTGGGGGCCTGGAGCAGCGGGGGCAGCGGTGGGCAGACAGGAGGGTCTCAGGGCTCCTGGCAGCGCTGGTTTCTCATTTAACAGATGTGCCAGTGTCATGTGAATTCTTAACTTCAGGGAGTGGGGTGGGGTGGGTCAGTCGATGGGAATTCTGCACTGTCTTTACAGCTCTTCTGTAAATGTAAACTTATGTCGCAAATAAAATAGCCAGATTTCAGCTTATTTGAGTATAATTCGCAATAGAAATCTAATTTCAGGACTAGAAATGTTATGAGATCCACAGTTAAGTATCGCTACTTCAGAGTAATAGAGTGGTTTCCTAGGCCCCTTCCAGGAGCACTTAATTTAGTCATCATTCCCATTCCCGTAGTGAGCACAGAAATGCCTGGCTCAGCACTCACTCATCCTCTCAGTCCTGGCCTCTGCATGGAGATATCCCCCTGGTTTGGACCCATGTAAGGAGGGTGGAAAGGAGGCGTGCTTTAGGCAGGCACACACACACACACACACACACACACACACTGCAAAGGAGGCGTGCTTTAGACACACACACACATACACACAGAGACTGGAAAGGAGGCATGCTTTAGACACACACACACACACACACACACGGAGGCTGGAAAGAAGGCGTGCTTTAGACACACACACACACAGACTGGAAAGGAGGCGTGCTTTAGACACGCACACACACACACACAGACTGGAAAGGAGGCGTGCTTCAGACACATACACACACACACACACTGCAAAGGAGGCGTGCTTTAGACACACACACACATACACACAGAGACTGGAAAGGAGGCGTGCTTTAGACACACACACACAGACTGGAAAGGAGGCGTGCTTTAGACACACACGCACGAGGCTGGAAAGGAGGCGTGCTTTAGACACACGCACACACACACACAGACTGCAAAGGAGGCGTGCTTTAGACACACACGCACATGCACACACACACACGGAGGCTGGAAAGGAGGCGTGCTTTAGACACACGCACACACACAGACTGGGAAGGAGGCGTGCTTCAGACACACGCACACACAGACTGGAAAGGAGGCGTGCTTCAGACAGACAGACAGACACACACACAGACTGCAAAGGAGGCATGCTTTAGACACACACGCACACACACACACACAGACTGGAAAGGAGGCGTGCTTTAGGCACACACGCACACACACACACAGACTGGAAAGGAGGCGTGCTTTAGACACACACGCACACACACACACAAGGAGGCTGGAAAGGAGGCGTGCTTTAGACACACACGCACACACACACACAGACTGGAAAGGAGGCGTGCTTTAGACACACAAACACAAGGAGGCTGGAAAGGAGGCATGCTTTAGGCACACGCACACACATACACACTGGAATATGACTCAGCTGTAAAAAGAGGGAAATCTTTCCATTTGCAACAACATGGATGAGTCTTGAGGACTTTGTACTCAGTGAAGTCAGACGGAGAAAGATAAATACTGTATGACCTCACTTACATGAAAAGAAAATGAAAAAAACAGCAAGCTCATAGATACAGAGAACAGGAGTTGGGACATGGAGGTGAGTGAAATGGGTGCAGGGGTCACAAGGTGCAGACTTCCAGCTACAAGTAAGTCCCGAGGATGTGACGTGACGCACGCTGACTGCAGTTATTAGCAGTGTCGCATATCTAAAAGTTGCTCGGAGAGTAGGTCTTAAAGGTGCTCATTACAAGAAAAAAAAAGTGTGACAGTGTGAGATGGTGTGTTAACCAGACATTGTGGCAGTCAGTTCACAGTATTGATGTATCTAAATAATGAATTATTATGTTGTATACCTGAAGCTAATACAACCTTGTATGTCAGTTACAGTTCAGTTTAGAAAAACACACTTGATACTGTTAACGGATCTACAGTTAGCGTCTGGTAGAGGGGAGATAACGTAACCCCTCGATTCCTTTTTCTTAGTGTGTTTTTCTTTTCTGGCATGTTTCCTTTAGGATTATGTTAACCTTTTCATCCAGAGGCCCTCGGAGGCCATTGTTCTACTAAGAGCAGCATCTGATAAATGTTAGGTTGACTAACATGGCATTGTTTCTGCTGTTCAGAAGGCTAAATAGCAACAATTTCTGATGATTCATCCTAGTAATACTGCCTTATTCTCTCTGTATATGAACTGGTTGAAAACCAACTAGCTGACATTGATAGATGCCTTGTTTCAAACACAGAGAGGATATTGAAACCCTGTAAATAGGGAGGTATATTTATTAATATCAAGAAATTCTAGGGAGTCAGTTTTTGTAGAACCTTTTCCTTACTGAGAAAGAAGGAAAGAACTGATGCTTTCTAAGGCATCCTTCTTAGAAATGAATCTGGGGCTCCTCTCAGACAGCAAGGACTTTCTAGTTCTTGCCCAGCAGTGGTGCTGTAGGTGAGATCTTGGTCCTCTTGGGTGGCCACATTGAAGCAGAGACCCCGAGAAAGCTTAGGTACTCACTCCTGACCAGGCACCCCTCTTGGCTGGCAGCAAGCCAGGGCGTGGCCCTGTGTCCCGGGAAGCTGGCCCTGAGCGCGGGTACACTGGCTTCTGCAGCTCCTGCAGCTGCTGCTTGTCACTGTGCCTTCCTGCACCTTAGCCTGGTGGCGTGTAAAATGTGGAATGAGCCGAAGGGAGAACTGTGATGGACATTCAGTAAACATGACGCGTTTCACCCAGATACAGTAACACTGCATAGTTACTATTTTCAAACATCTTTGCCCAGTTACTCAGAAGTTTTCCAGCAGGTTCACTGATCAGGTGTGCTGTTAGTTGATCCCTTGCACGTCCGTGGCTTAGGGTTTTGGAAAAGAGGATAGGCCATCAACTGGACTCTGTTAGGTGTGGGGCAGATGACTTCACCCCTGCCCCCAGGGAGCAGCGCACGGCCCTTTGTGTCTCTGATATAGGGGAAACCACAGCAGGAGTGACTAGAGGGGGCGGAGCTGGAGAGATTGGGCACCTCGAGGGACGTTGGGGTGCTTAGCCAATCAGGACAGTCTCGTTGGCCCGGCCATGGAGGAGGGAGGTTCTCTTGGTGGCCCATCAGGTTTCAGGTGTCGTGGAGATCTCACGTGGGTGAGTGTTACGCTCCAGAGGAGAGTTGGAGACTGTTTGCACAGCCTGGAGTCAGAATGGTGGTTAGACGCCATCTCAGCCATGGTGAGAGCAGCCCTTTGCTGGCCCTGGGTTCATGGCCAGAGCTTGGACGGGTCTTCCCCAAAATGTGCTCCCCGGATTTTTCTTTGCAGAGCGTCCACGGCTGACCACTCACGTTCTAGGCAACATTTGAGATTCAGTCCTTGCTGCCCTGGAACTCACTTTGCTTCTCCTCAGTTTAGCGTCTGTGGCCTCTTCAGATCACCTGAGATCCCACCCCTGGCTTGCCTGACCGATCCCCAGCCCTGGCTACAGCCAGCTGTCGACCTCCGGTGCCGGCTTCTGCCCTCACAGCTCTCCCGCGGCCGCTTTACCTGCGGGATGTAACTGTGGCGCCCGGGACGGACATGCCGAGCCGCCCTGTCTCCCTCACGCATGGTGTGTGTGCCCCTCCATGTGAGGCCCGCCTCCTGTGCTCTCCTCTGACGGCATCTCCACCACACCAGGCTGTCTTATTTTCATGTGCCTGTGTGTGTGCCCTGACGTGGGGTCCTCTGCACACTTCTGCACGGAACCTCCTCATCGCTGGGTCTTCACCTAGTTCTCTCATTATTCCTAAAGAATAACCTCTCAAAGGTTGTGGTTTGAAGGTGTTTGATTTCTGTTACCAGACTGCTTCAGAAAGGACATGTCGACTCCCCGGGCAGTGTGGAGTGTGTGAGGGCTTTCATCCCCCTCCTCTGCTGACCGCAGGAGCCCCCTGTTCCGATGAGCCAGAGCTGAACTGTATACTTTAAAACTGTTGAAAATGATGTGTTAGTCACTCATTCGTGTCTGACTCTTTGCAACCCCGTGGACTGTAGCCCACCAGGCTCCTGTGTCCATGGGATTCTCCAGGCAAGAATACTAAGTGGGTTGCCATTCCCTTCTCCAAGGGAACTTTCCAACCCAGGGATTGAACCTGGATCTCCTGCATTGCAGGCAGATTTTTTTTTTTTAACCATCTGAGCCACCAGATGGTATATTATATGTTGTGTGTATTTTACTATACTTATTTTTTTAAAAAAGAAACAGAGCTCTGATAAATAATGATGTTTGATGCGTGCAGGTGGTATTACGTGGTGCTGGGGAAGAGATGTTCCTGGGTGTTGGTGGTTATTTCTGTGGTCTTCACTTACTGTTGACTCTGAAAAGATGTTTATGATTATGTTTATCACACAGGCCAAAACACTAAGAAAATTGATCCAACAAACATTTAGACAGTTTGCCAACCTTAACAGAGAAGAAAGTATTTTGAAGTTCTTTGAGATCCTCTCCCCAGTGTACAGATTTGATAAAGAATGCTTCAAGTGTGCCCTTGGTGTAAGTATGGGGACTTCGTAATAGGGGACTCGGTGGAATCTCTTTGTCTTTTCCATGAATACCTCAGTTTCTGATTGGAATCTAATTTGTCATGTGTTTAACATGAGACTATTTTTCACTGTACAGTGGGAAAACAATACAAAAAGAAAATGTGTCAACGTGAGACTAAAACAGTCCTTTTTTAATAGCATGCCTATGTTCATATTTAGATTTATTTTAATCCCAACCCAGCGATTCATTGATTAACAGTTCTCTCAGGGCTCGTTTACCTATGCACATAATCTTCCCAAAGAAACTATTGGCTGTGGCTCACCAGAATGAGCTCAGTCTGTCCATCTCTGCTTAGGCTCAGCAGACACTGCACCGTGGAGCTGTCCATGCATGTCTCCACACTCAGTCGTGTCCGACGGTTTGTGCCTGGACTGTAGCCCGCCAGGCTCCTCTGTCCGTGGGGTTCTCCAGGCAAGAATCCTGGAGTGGGTTACCATGCCCTCCTCCAGGGGACCTTCCCGACCCAGGGATCCAGCCTGAGTCTCTTTGTGTCTCCTGTACTGGCAGGCGGTTTCTGTCCCACTGGTGCCACCAGGAAAGCCTAGAGTTGCACACATTTTGTATTCTTTGGTTTGATGAATAGAAGTTTGTCCAGCCTCCCCTTTGGTCCTTTAATGTTTCAGTGGTTCTTTGTCTAAAATACCTCTTTTTCCTCCTGGTACCTTTGCCGTCACCTGTTTCACCTTCAAGTCAAGCTGGATTATTTCAGTAGAGCTGGCGATTGGCCCCGAGGAAGGAATCAGTTACCTCACAGACAAAGGCTGCAATGTAAGTGTGCTTCAGGTTGCCAGGGAGGGGCTGGTGCTTCTGGTATCTGAGAGAAGGAGGCCCTGAGCAGGCTAAGAGTCTTGAGTAAATACGTGGGATTCGTCACCTGCATACTGATGGCTGTTGTGAAATGCTGGAGGGTGGGGACTGATGGGCATGTTGTGTCCACATGAGAAGAAAAATCCATTTCTCTTGGGAAATGAACAGAGTCTCTGGTGGCGTGTCCATGTGGGAAGGGTCCTTAAGATGTGCCTGCCGTCTCCCCAGCACCATTACCCTCCAGAAGAACCCCAGAATGGGTCAGAGACGTTCCTTGCTCATGGTGTGCTAGGAGTGGGCACGGGTCCCTCTCTCTGAGAGAAGCAGGGCAGAATGCTCCCTGAGACCGAGTCACCCGGAGAGTCAGGTCAGGGACTCCCTCCCTCCTCCTCTGCATGTCTTCGCTCCGGGGCATGGGTGACCCCTCGTCCAGACCCTGAAGGTAGAGCACCCCTCTGCCTCCAGGAGCACAGAGGGCAGACACACCCCGACCGTGAAGTGAGCAGGCGGCCCCGGCAGGTCCACGCCAGCTCCTCAGAGGGAGAAAGGCCCACTCCTCCTGGACGAGGTGGACAGTCAGGCTCCCCAGGCACCCTGTCTGGGAGGTGTCTCTGGAGAACAGGGTTGGGGGGGGGGACCATGGGGATTACACGGGTAGTGCACGAGTGTCTGGCATCTGTGGTCAAGTGTTTGCCTTTTCTTCCCAAAGCCCACGCACCTGGCCGACTTCAACCAAGTGCAGACCATCCAGTACTCGAACAGTGAGGACAAGGACAGGAAAGGCACGCTGCAGCTGAAGATCGCAGGGGCACCCGAGGTAGGGGGGTAGGAGATGGCCTCTGCTCAGGCTGTCGACTCAGCCGTGTCCAGCTGTGCCACCCTGTGGCCTGCAGCCCGCCAGGCTGCTCTGTCGATGGTATTCTCCAGGCAGGAATACTGGGCGTATCCTGAAACAATCATTATTTCTAAACTAGCCTTTTATTGAAATGACTGTTTCAGGATACAGATGAAGTTTTCATGGATCATCAGAATCACAGCTTTCTCTCACGTAATGAGCATTACCTAACAAGTGTGTTTGTGTGCGCTCAGCTGCTCAGTCACGTCCGACTCTCTGCAACCCTATGGACTGTAGCCCGCCATGCTCCTTTGTCTATGGGGATTCTCCAGGCAAGAATACTGGAGTGGGTTGTCATTTCTTCCTCAAGGGGATCTTCCCGAGGGCTCAAATTTGCATTTGCTGCTTGGCAGGCAGATTCTTTACTGCTGAGCCTCCTAGAAGCCCTGCATAACAAATTGTTGTTGTTTAGTCACTGAGTTGTGTCCAACTCTTTGTGACCCCATGGGCTGCAGCATGCCAGGCTTCTCTCTCCTTCACTATCTTGCAGAGTTTGCTTGAATCCATGTCCATTGAGTTGGTGACGCCATCCCACCGTCTCATCCTCTGCTGCCCTCTTCTTTTTTTGCCTTAATCTTTCCCAGCATCAGGGTCTTTTCCAGTGAGTCAGTTCTTTGCATCAGCTGGCCAAAGTATTGGAGCTTCAGCATCAGTCCTTTGAATGAATATTCAGGGTTGATTTTCTTTAGAATTGACTGATTGATTTGATCTCCTTGCTGTCCAAGGGACTCTCTCTCTTTTTTTTTTTTTTGGCTTAAACAGCAGATATTTATTTTCTCACAGTTTGAAAGAATAGAAGTCCAAGACCAGAGTTTCAGCAAGATTGGTTTCTGGAGAGGACTCTCCTCCTGGCTTGAGCATGGTGCCCTTCTTGCCATGTGCTTACATGACCTCATCTTTGTGTGCACTCAGAGTCTGTTCCAGCACCGTAGTTCAAAAGCCGCAATTCACTTAAAAACTATTGTAGTCTTTCTGTGGAAAAACTGGAATATATGAATTACCAAGAAAATCAACCTCTTAAAATTATATAAATTCTGTAAACTGTACTGCTCTCTTTATTTCCTGGACTGTGTCATATGTGATGTTCACTGTGTGCGTGTGTTGGGGGGTGTTGGGAGCGGCACACACAGGGCTACTTGGGCATGAAGCCCATTTGGGGCACTCCCCTGGCCCCACTCCACGCTGCTGCCACCCCTGCCGGGGCAGGTTTGTTCTCGAGGCTCCTCTCATCTCATTCTCGCTCCTCCTGCTTTGGAATCCTGGCATTTCTGAGGCTCCGGGCAGTACATTTGACTCTCGGAATCAGACCGGTGATGCCGTGAAATATAGGAGCCTTGAGATCCCCTGGCGCTCTCTCAGTGACTTCCTGCCTGCACCGTGCCCACCTTTCTGTTTGCTCCCCAGACAACCCTTAGGGTGGTGAGGCAAGCTGAGCTGCTCCTGTAGAGGGGCACTATGAAGACTGTGTGAGTTAGGATATGATTGTGCTCAAAGGAAAAATACCACTCTGGTTATCTCCTGGGTGACATTCAATGACAGGTCTTTTAGGAAGTGTATCATAATTGTGTGTTTTGCCTTGAAAAAAGTGATTTCTAAGCTCTTGGGTAGAACATGCTCTGCATGCTCAAAATAATGAAATTCCACTAATTTTCTTCAAGGTTAGAAAAACTATGATGGATGGTTGATAAAACTCTACTCCACACTTGTCTAGTTTCTAAAAGAAGCCATAGTTGAGCTTACTAATTTTCTAAGTTCTTAATTAGAGTATGCCTAAGGGGCCAGACCTTCTGTAGGAAATGTTTTTTTTCCCCACCTCTTTTTGTTCTAGAAAGTGACTCTAAGCGATTTAAGTGTCTTTTTCTTTTTTTGTCTGGCTTTGCCTTCTGTCACATATCCTAGGAATAAGATCCTTAAATACCATGCTCTCTTCTCACTGAGGCCTGATGACAGATCTCGTCTCACTCCCACTCTTCTCTGTGCTCAAGTGCGTCTCCATCTGATGTCACGGCACAGCTGGCCCTTTGAGGAGTGGAAGGAACAATGACCGCTCTCTCTGGCTCTTTTCCCCTGTCCAGCCCCTGACGGTCACGGCCCCGTCCCTGACCATCGCCGAGAACATGGCCGACCTGATCGACGGGTACTGCCGCCTGGTGCACGGGGCCACACAGTCCTTCATCATCCGGCCCCAGAAAGGTGAGCCACCCCCTGCCCACCCTCCTCCCCGCCGCCGCCAAGCTCACCTGCAGCCTGAGCCCTTCCCTCAGGGCACTCTGAACATGAAGAGCAAACAAGTGGTTCAGCCCAGCATATTCCTGCTTTTCCAGGGCAGCGACTCAGCTCACAGCCTACGAACTGGGTTTGGACAGAGCTTAAGCACACATGGTTTGTGTTCAGACCCTTTTGATTTGAGCAACAGCCTTAACATGTTGTCTCGGTTACCATTAGTGTTTTTTAAATAAACTTTTGGGATTATATTCTAGGACTTTTTTTTTAAAGTCCCTGTAACTCATATAAATAAAGTCTCTTTCGTATTTTTTCTTAAAGCTCTCAAAAGCTTAGAGCAGTCAGTCCGAAGCATGATGTATTGAATCCTCGGAATGGGGCTGAGTCTCTGCAGCCTTTTGCAAAGTCTGTAAGATGCGGTGTTTCCGAGGGTTTGGATTTCTGAAACAAAACAGGAAAAAACCAGGCTTTGGAATTATATTGACCGATGGGTTCACATCATGAGTGCATGCCATCTGCTAAGTACTTAGCTTCCTGCGCCTCAGTCCTGTCTGGGAAGGCTGGAAGAGTGGTACTTGCTTCTGTGGTCTCAGCAGGAAGCAGAGCGGGAGCAGCCTTCCGCGTGGAGGTGGCTTGGGACACGTACGCACAGTGTCACAGACTTCAGAGCTGCTGCTCGTTTCCATGTGATCTTGATGCCCTGGATGAGCCTTGGCTTGGGGAGTTCTTGCCCTTGAGGAGGAGCAGTACCTGCTTTGTAGCGTGGGAGGTGGGTCCGGGTCCACAGTCACGCTCATCATACTGCCGCTCTGGGCAGGCGGACACAAGATCCCTGCCAGCACTCCCCTACCCCCGCGTGGGAGGGACGATCAGAGGAGGAGTTGGGGAGACGTGAGGGACACAGATGAGGCCCCACACTCCTGGGGTAGACACTGCAGAGAGTCCCGCTGCCCAGCGGCCCAGTTCTCTGTGCTGACAGCAGGTGGAGAGCGTGGGGGTGGGGAGTGAAGCAGAGGCATCACTGGGACCTTTGTTTAAACCTTTGTTAGTGTCAGATACTGAGGACAGTATCTAAAGCCATCAGCCAAAATGGCCAGTAAGTGCATGAATTCCAGGACATGGATAATCGGGCAGAGCTGTTTTTCCCACTATGATCAAACCAGTAAAGCCTATTTATTTATTTTCCCCCTAAAATGGAATGTGTGTTATGATAGCTTCCTTTATGTGAAATACAGTAATGAAGCTTCTTTTAGAAATATCTAAAGGCTCCTCTCATTGAAAATTTTTGCATTCATGAGCTCTTGAGTTTTCATTTTGTGCTTTAAATGAAGAAGTATACCTTGCAAACATTGTTTAAATGTTTTGGGAAAGTTGTTTCACGTAAAGATAGTATTCTGTTAAAAATGTTAAATGTACTATATCGCCTGTCTTCTTTTTGGTAAGTAATTGTTTTATTTCACTTTAATTTACCAAAATATTGTTCAATTTGCTGGTATATGAAAAAATAACATTCAGACATTAGGCATTAAATGTTTGAAGCTTTAAATCTTCTTGAGTTGGTTTTTAGTTGACTTTTTTCTCCTGTTGGAGGAAACATTTTGATATCAAATCTCATGAAATGAGATACGTTAAATTCTTCATTCATATGAAGACAGCATAAATGAAATCATTTCTCATAAAAATCTAATAGGACCAAGGTTTTTATCAATTTTATGTGGTCTTTATAGAATTAATTATTAAGCATGATAATTTATTCTAAATCACAGCATATGTACTTGTGACTATTTTATAATAGATTCCTAAAGTGAAGTTATATTGCCTAATTGAAATAATAAAGTCAAATGTTTTTAATGGATTATAATTAGAAATATGTGGACAGGAGCACATGTACACTTCCTAATTTAGTTTTTTAAAACATCAAATAAATGTAAAACATCTTTCTACAACTCTAATGCTCCATTTTCCTGGTACATGCTTTAAGGAACAGTTGCATACATACCCATCTGTTCTCTAGGTTATGAACTGCTTCATGGTAAGCAACATGCATGGGTTTGTGAGTGTAACAGTTCTAAGTGATGTCTAAGTTCTACACATGAGTGCTGATGTGCCTAGGTGTATTTTGTTAGCTCTGTGATCCACCATAATTGCTTCAATTTAGAAAGTGCTTTTATAGGTGGTATCACTGGGGCAGAAAACTGTAAGAGTCACAAGCCATGTACCTGAACCAGCTTCCACCGGAGTTGCTATGTGACCTGGGGCCTTCTTATGGGGCCTTATCTAACTTTTCCTTTGACTTAGAGAAAACTCAGTGGCAGTTTTTTTCAATTTTTAGTTACATTCTCCTCATAATTTCACATTACCAAGACAAGAGTAACCCTTTTCCCAGGGAGCCAGGGGACTGTGGGACAGCTTTACCACCAGGTCAATCCAGATAAGAGAGATTAAACCAGGGGCTCCATGCTTCCTGGTTCACTAAGGATGGGTGGGGAGCACGTCTCCTCAGCCTCTGAGCAAGTCCTGAGCTCCCCTGTGATGCCCCGGCCAGAGCCCAGCTGTCATGGCAGGGGGCCGGCCACCATGTGGAGGCCCCAGCACCTCCCCCAGCTGCGTCCCCAGGCCTCCTCAGGCTCTGAGGTGGCTGGCCCCTCGGCTGCCTGGGGCCTGTGTTCCTCCTGCAGCTACAGAGCCGATGAGTTTGGAATTTCTGTGTTCCCTGTATAGGTTTTGGAGTTGCCAAACCTATGCAGGGTGTTCAGTCTTTGTAAAGAATGTTTGCTTTGATTATGAAAAATTCTTTCTCTTCTAACGTCTCCTGGGAAGACAGCTTTCCTCTGTTTCCTCAGAACTTTAGCCTGGTTTCGAGAGGCAGTGCCTTCCCTAGAGTCTGCGCCTGCAGACAGCATGCGTGTCATAAACACTGAAGATAAAGCTGTGACAGCCCACCGCAGGCACATGCAGCTCCGTTTAAAGGGCCATTGCTAAGATTCTGGGGCAGGGCCCCTCTTTCTCTGGTCTCTACATGCAGTCTCTTCCACAGGGGCCTCATCTCTCTCTCCATTTTTTTCCGCAGAAGGTGAGCGGGCTTTGCCATCGATACCAAAGTAAGTGCCGCCCTGTGTGCCTTATTACTGCATGGCATGAGAGACTGAAATTCTCCGTGCTTTATTTTATATTTGCGTGAGTAATCAAATTTCTACATGTGTGATTAGGAAATCAGAAAACAAGTATTTCCAGAAAGAAATCAGTTGTAAGTCATCTAAAGTATTTAGGTTTTTTGTTGTTGTTGTTGTTTTAATTCATTTATTTTTTATTGAAGGATAATTGCTTTACAAGTATTTATGTTTAGCCAAGAGTGTAAAGTGAATCTTCCCTTGAAGTTCAGGAAGTAGCTCAAGAATAGTGGTGATAACAGGAGAGAGGTCTGTTGTCAGGTGGTTACTTTATAGGTGGCGACAGTCTACATAGAGACCTAAAAGTCAGTACCATTCTGGCTATTTTACAAGTGAGAAAATTAAAGATATGCAACTTATGTTAATTTTAAAATGTGTTTGTGTCACAGAATTCATAGTAGATACTTTAATCTATAAAAGTAAAGAAGGCCTGAGCTTCTGTGTCCTCAGCCAGCATGCTAGGGATTGGGGAGCAGATGAAAGGCACCATGCTCAGTCAGACACGCAGCTGGGTGCCGAGCGCTCAGAGGAAGGGACTTGAGGAGATGCCCCGGGCGCTGCACGTGGGGCTAAGGGAGCAGAGCCTGGGCGCCTCTGACCTGTCGCTCCCTCTGCTCCACGGCCGGTCCCCGCCGGTCTCTCCCTTTCTTCTTCCGAGCTGTCAGGCCCGTGCACTTCACCTGCCCATCGCCCTCCCCGGTTGTTAGCTGTTAGCGCCTGTCTGGGCTCTGCTAGCAAGACTCCTGTGTTGGGACCCGCAGGACCGCCCCGTGCAGGGATTCTCTAGAAGGCGTGCCCAGGACTCGGTGCATAGAGGCTCCCGTGGCTGTGCTGCATGACAGCCCGGGGAGGGCACGGCAGCATGGAGCCCAGAGGGGCTGGGCAGCCCCGGGGCCTTCTCTCAGGGCCGCAGGCAGGACATGTGCAGGGTGGCCTCCCAGGGGAGCTCGTGAGAGGCTCGGCGCCCCACCTTTATGCGGGCCTGCGCTTGGCGTGTGCCCAGACTCCAGTCTCCCCAAAGGAGGGCAAGAGTTCAGCATGGACCGCATTGTTTGTACCATTGGTCTCAGCACGGGGAGCTGTCCTGATCAGTAGGGATGGTGGGAACCTCCCTCGACACCAGCCAGGGGCCAGTCTCAGGACAGCATCTCAGCCCCCTGGCTCCCACCCTCTGCATGCCTGTCGGGCTTTGCTACAGCGTTGGGAGGGAGCTTTCCTCTTGAAGCCCCTGTGTGGCTGCTGCTGCTCCTAGATAAACGCCCACATCTTCAGCCAGCTGGGGAGGTGCTGTGCACCGTCCCCACACCCCCTCCGCCTCGCTTCTGCTCCCGCGCTCACGCTTCAGCCACACTGAACTCCCTTTGGCTCCTGGAGCCCACGGCCCTCCTTCCCTCTAGCTTGCCCTCAGCGGGGCCCTGCTCAGGTCTCACCCTGCATCACCTCATCTGAAAACCCCCCATCACCCCAGTCCCAGAAGCAGCCCTGTGTTTTCCCGTAACTTATCTGGAGTAACAGTCACCTCTCTGCTGCTCTCACCCTCAGGCCTCACTGATGGCCAGGGTCAGGGGGTGTGTAGACCTGACACTGGGCAGTATCTGGCACGCAGTAGGTAGCTGGGCGGGCGAGTGGTGGGGTGGGTGAGACCAACTCTCTCAGTTTTTAGGCTGTGTTTCACAAACCCAACAACATTTAATAGATATGTATTAATGTTATAAATTAATGGATATTAATTTATTAAATTTATTAATGTTTATTAATTATTAAAAATCAGGCAAGGAATTAGTGCTTATAGTATCTTCAGTTGTAGAAAGTCTTTGAGAGATGACTTTGTGGATTAAATACACAGGAATTGTAAATACAGACGTAAACGTGAGGAATAAGGGAGTAGGTTAGAAGTGCGAACAGATACTAGAAAGGAGCAGAATTTCCACAAATCACAGAGCAGCAGGTGTGTTGTTGCCACAGATCAGAGAGGTGATGATATCCCTTCATTTGTGAGCAGGTTGGTTCAGAGAAGTGCCCCAGCCCACAGCAGAGGACGACCTGGCATCCTGTCTGCAGGACAGAGGCATAGGATGTGGCCTGTGTGTTAGGAACGCGCACCTGTGACCTCCCGATAAATGCAGTTGAGAGGGAGTTATGATCAGTCAGGTAGCTGCAGTGGAAGAGGAGCTGGTGGTTTGTTAGAAAACTCTGGTTAAACTTTTATAATAGAGATACCATTTCAAACTTGTAGCAAATTCAGTAAAAGAACTGAAGGGTATGGCTTTGTGCTATAAACCTTCCCCAGTCACTCAGTTGGTAAAGAATCTACCTGCAATGCAGAAGACCCAGGGATTGAACCAGGAAGATCCCCTGGAGAAGGGAATGGCTGCCCACTCCAGTGTTCTTGCCTGGAGAATCCCATGGACAGAGGAGTCTGCTGGTACTGTCCATTGGCTCGCAAAGAGTCAGACATGACTGAGCAGCTAACACTTCCTAGAGGTTGTGCAGTTGGACATTGAATATTTCTAGTTCTCAAAAGGGATATGTTAAGCTCCAAGATTTCCAATATAAATTCTGTATACTAAGGAAAATTCCTGTTCAGTACTTATAGAGTAAATGTTTATGTATCAGAGAAAAAGTTTTCTTTTATGAAAAGAACAAAATAATTTTGACACCTGAAGACTGTAGGGTTCCTTTTTCCTCTGTGTTTTATGCTTTTTCAAAAAGTTTGAATTGAACTATACTTGGATTTTTTTTTTTTAATGTGCTAAAACCTTTGGCCAAAATGTTATTTTCTGTGGATGTGTGTGTAAAACACTACCATTGCTGAGCCATTTCATGAAACAAGTAACCAGATGCGTCAGCCTTGCCTGTGTCAGTCTGTAGATAATGACAGCATGTGTCCCCGTCCTGCCTGCTCTTGGGCACACTCTAACAGTGACAGGGCCAGTGCTGTGTCCAGGGCCCTCCTCAGTCCCGGGCGTCTCCCCTTGCAGCCCAGCATCTAAAGTGACCCAAGCCATGAGCACCATGTTCAGCAGAGCTGTGATTCAGCGTTCCTGCCCTCGTCGGTCTGCACTTCCAGTCTTTAAACGTTAAAGCAGGCTTTGAGGGCCTCAGGTGGTAGAGTCTGGTGTTTCACAAAGTCACCCTCTGGACTGCACCGTCTCCCTGGGAGAGGGCACAGCCGTCTTGGTTCTGAGCAGCTGGCGTGCGCGTGGATGCCAGTGGCGTGGTCTGGAGAGCGGTGGGGCGCTCACGCTTTGCACCTCTGTTCCAGGCTGGCCAACAGTGAGAAGCAGGGCGTGCGCACCCATGCGGTCTCCATGTCAGGTAAGAGGCCGCACGGGCGGCAGGGGGTGCCCACAGCGGTGGGGGGGTGCCCCGCGTGTTTGACCTCTGCTCATTTTCATGAGCATCCTTTCTAGGCTAGCTTGTAAACGTTAAGAATTAAAGTTATTTATTTTTAAAACTTAAAAAATAACTTTAAAATTTGTATAATTTTACAGTAGTAGAATACTCACAAATTACTTAGAATTCCAAGTTATGTTTCAGTTTTAATGCCATGTTAATTATATTTAGAGTGAAAATGTTTGCTTTCGAAGCTGCCATTATAATTTATGCTTGCAGTTCAGAAATTAACATAATATGCTTTGTATATTATTTTTTGAAGTTCAAGAGATGTGAAGTATTTTTCAACAGCTTTTTTGGTTAACAATTAACATAAAATGGTGTTTGAATATTGCTTTTTTAAAAATATAGTTAAGATATTGACGTAAGCATTATCTTAACTATTTACTGGTGTGATGAGCATGGTGTGCTTTCTTTGATATGTTTCTCAAGATACATGTGCCTTTTCCCCCCATTTAAAAATGTAGAAAATAGAGGAAAGGTGGGAAAAAGCATCTTCTATGGACCCAGGTTTGGTATCTTAAAATACATATGCTATACATGTATACATACACATGTATATCCATATGCACACATATATAGTATGTTCTCATCTATGTCACATTTCTAAAATAATAGTTTCTTAAAACTCTAGTGTCTGACAGTCTGACTTAGAAGAAATCTAATTCTTGTTAGTTTAATTTACCTTGAGTGAATTTTTACCTAAAATTTACTTTTGTGCATTTGCCTAGTTGATGACTGAATTATTTGTTAATGTTCCAGCATACAAATATAATTGCTTGTTTTTTTTTTTATCATCCACAAACATCCCACCACCCCTTTCTCAAGAAATATTCGTGTTGGTATTCATGCTTTTGTGCTTAGCAAAGATGCTCTAGTGAGGAACCTCGTGGGGCAGGTGGGGGGGGGCCCCTGCTGCTCAGGAGCCAACCCCTTCCTGATGTGGGGAGAGGCCTGTTCAGTGCCAGGGCTTGTGCTGCTGGGCGGTGCCGGACGCCGGCGGCCTCCCCTCAGGACGGGGTGACACGCAGGGGCCGAGTAGCTTGGCATCTCCAGTCTGCGGTGGCGCAGGAGATCCAGCAGGTGGGGAACAGGCTCTCCAGGGTTGTGATCCTGTTAGAGAGAGAGGCCACCACCCGCCTGAGGTGCCCGGTGGTGGAGCACTCTGTCAGTTGCTGGCATCAGAGGGTGTTTTGTGCTGTGCTCCACAGAAAAGGGGCTACTGAGCCAGCGCTGAGTCCTTCCTGAGCGCGCTAGTCCCCCCGCTGAACTGGAAGCAGGCCTGGGATGCTGGCCGGGAGGCACCGATGGTCCTCACCGCCCTGGGTGCCCCCGCGCTCCGCAGCTGCTCCATGCGGTGGGAGCTGACATGCCCTGCCGGGCGCATCGCAACTCCGGGAGTGACGAAACACGACAGGCCTCATGGAAGCTTTGGGTCTCGTTTCTTCCATTTCCTCACGTCCTCAGCATTTTTCCACAGCTGCCCATTAAGACTCTGTGGGGGTCACCTCTCTCAGTTCCCCCGTCCTGATCTGCCTTCACTGTCCTCCCCGGGCACCCTGGACTGGAGTTCACGCTGCAGCCCCTTATCTACAGCAGCTCTCGGGGTGCTCCTCCCTTTATTGAATGTAAGTAGGCGACTCCCTGGGCAGAAACTTTCCTCAGCTCGGCCCCGAGGCTTCCCAACATCTCTACACAGCCCACCTGTCCAGCCCGCCCCCGTCTTCCACATGGGTCTTCTCCCAGTTCTGTTGGGCGTCCGGGCCCTCTGCCCACCTCCTTCCCCCTGTAGTTCTGCTTGGACTGCTCCACCGGCCAGCACATACTTTTCATCATCACACGTCCATTCTTCAGAGTCAGTGATGCTATTCCACACACGGGCACCACTTTGGTGGTTCACGGAACTGCCAAACCTTCATTCACAGACACAAGGAACATCCCATGTCCCATGAACATTTAGTGCCAGAACTTACCTCTTAGGTTCTGTTACTCCTTCATCACCCTGCTCATGACTTGCTCCCTTCCGTGGAGTTGGACTCACAGCATGCAGAGACTCTTGCCAAGAGTGCGCCTTGCACTTAGCTCATAAGCTGTTAAGGTGACACCTGGATGACCAGGACTTGTGCCAAACCTCCAGATTCTTTCTTACCTGGTAGCCTGGAAACCACATGGGTGTGCGATGTTAACCTCAGCCTCCTGCGGACTCAGTGGAGTGCCACGCCTGTTCCCCATGCCACAAGCCAGTCTGTCTCCAGGATGGTGGGGTGGTGGCTGAGGCTCAGCCTGACTGTGGCCAGCAGTCGTGACCTGCTTTTCTGTCATAGTCCATCCTGTCCCACCCCAACAAACCCTGCAAGGTGGCTGTTAACCCAGTCTTAGAAATTCCATGATCAGGTGCTGCTGAGTGCCTGCTCTGTGCTAGGCGTTGTTCCAGATGCTGGGGGACACTGGTGGGCAGAGCCAGGTTGCTCCTGTGTGGAGCTGATATTCTGTGCAGGAGACACTGACACTGAATTAAAATCAAGCAGGCAGGTGGAGAGTGAGGGTGGGGGTCCAGGGACGTCCCTCTGAGCAGTTGACTGAATACAGTGAGACTTGAGGCCTGCAGACGTTGTGGGACAGCGAGCGCCAGGCCCTGCAGTGGGAGCTTGGCAAACTCAGCACCAGCCAGAGAGCTCTGAGAGGCCGGGGCAGGGCAGGCGAGGGCACACCCAGCGAAGAGGTGACAGCTCTCTCTGTATTAGGTACTCAGGGTGCTCTGCATTGCATTAGGCATTGTTAATCCCTGTGGCAACCTCCCAAGGTCTTTATCGTCTCCCCATTTCACAGACAGGAGGAAAGAGATTCAGAGAAGTAAACGGGCTTGTTCAGTGTCACACAGCTTGCAAACGATGGAGCAAGGTCTGAACTCAGGTTATTATTGCCCCCTAGGCTTTGTTGCCTTTCAGTAACAATTTAAGGGAGATGACCCCAAGTACAGATGAATAATCAGTTGGGAAGATGGAGAAAGTGAGACTGGCCTGATTCCCCTATTTTTTATACAGTCACAACTGAGAAGCTCTTCCCTAGTCTTTAAGGCTGGCTTCAGATGCCACCCTCTCCTAGAAGCCCTCCCTGCCTACTCCAGGACTCTCCTTCCTCAGAGTTGTCTGGCCTGCCATACATGCCACTATTGTAGATAATCTTTAAATAGATACGAGTTTAGAAACCTTCTTATCCCTAGATCACAATGCCATCATAGACAAAGACATGTTCTATTTGTTGTTGCTGTCTGGGACACAGTGCTCTATTGTTTTTAGGTGAATCAGCTGCCCGGGCAAGGTGCAGAGAGGTGCTAGGGCTTGGAGGACTGCGCTCTGGTGGGAGAACAGAGGGAGAAAGGAAGGGACCCTCAGAGTAGGTGGTGACCTCGTGGGCCACTGGGCACTCAAACCTCCTCAAGCGCTGATCACAGTGAACCCTTCTGCTTGCACCGCTAGGTAGTTTGGGGCAAGGGGTCTGGAGGCCAGCCAGTGGGAAGGCTGAAGTCTGGATGTCAGCAATAGTCCCCAGCTCATGATCACTGGCTCCAGGCCCTCCTGCATATCTCTTTGTGAGGAAGTAGAGTTTCAGACCATCCTCAGTAGGGTCCAGTTTCAGTCCATGTCAAGTATATGCAGTCTTGTCTCTGAGATCTGGAGTTTGTAACGTAAGTGTGAGATGAGCCAGTGTACACTCCATGTCAAGTATATGCAGTCTTGTCTCTGAGATCTAGAGTTTCTCTCTAACGTAAGTGTGAGATGAGCTGGTTTGTAGAAATATCCAGCAGAATAGAGCATTTCCCTGGGCACTTTCTCTGAGGGCCTAGAGTCAACTTTTCTAGCCTCTGTGTGTGATTTTAGGAAACGCATTTCTTCTGGAGCGCAGTTAGAAGTACGTGAGAGGGCTTTGCTTGTCCTGAGGGGTCTGTGTGTGTCAGAGAGGGGCACCTGGAGTGGGTGGGGGGTTGAGCAATGTTTGTGCGGATGAAGATTCCTCGGAATGCAGGTGCTTCCAAGGGCAATCAGTGAATGAAGCTGAATTTTAAGTATTCCAAAGGTACAAACTTTGGTTTTCAGTTGGTTTTTGTGTTTCAAGGTCTGTTTGTCTGTTTTAAATAAGCAGGCCTGTAGTGAAGCAGTGGGACCTCAAGTGTAACAGAAATGTTGGTGAGCTGACGACCACTGCCCTGTGCCCATGGCTCCTGTCGCATGTCTGGGTCGTTGTGATGGGGCTGGAGGTCAGAAGACTGTGTTCTCTCTTCTGCTTCTGTCATGACAGCCAAGGCCATGACCTTTTCCTTTCATTAGAAATGTTTGGTTTGATTGTCTCTGCTGAGCCCTTGGTGGTGAACACATGTATCCCTCTATAGTGATACTTTGCGATGAGATGTTTATTACAAATTAAAAAAAAATTTTTTTTTTTTGCTTTGTAACAGATTCTTCTGGTTTAATTGTTAACCTTGCAGCATCATTCCAGCTATTTAAAATTACATATAGTGACTAAAAATTATCCTAAACTAAAAGTAAACAAAATAAATGTCATTTGTATTAAGCTGCTTCATTACAAGTTCTAAAGCAGCTACTTAATATGTGTAGAAGTAGTTTGTGAAGTTCTGTAAAATATTAGGTGGTATATGTGTTTTTGTTCAGCCGCTAAGTCATGTCCAACTCTTTGCGACCCCATGAACTGTAGCTCACCTGGCTTCCCTGTCCTCCGCCGTCTGCCAGCAGAGTTTGCTCAAATTCATGTCCATTGAGTCAGTGATGCTATCTATAATAATTGCAGTCTTTTCTCCTTTTTTCTCATGGTCTCTGAAGCACTAAGCCTGCTATTCATTCATTGCCCTGCTGCTGTTTGTAAATATAAGTAGTTACTTACCTATGAGTGAGTCTCAGAGGTTATGCACACTCACAAGCAGTATCTTGTTTAAGCCTCAGGACAGTCTTCCTCCTTTTCCCACTTTACAGGTGAGCTGGGGTGGTGAGGTGTGGCTCACGTAGCTAGCCAAAGCAGAGAGCCTGGTGGAAACCCGGATTTGAGTTCTGAAACCCACTGTCTTCTCATCAAACCACACTGAGTTGTTGGAATGCAGGAGGTGTCGGTGTGAGAAGGGTGGAGTATTGTCCTAGAAGAGTCTGAGTCCGATTTCAGGGTGGTTTTTCTTCCATTTATCAGGAATAGCAATAGCATAGTGTTGACTCATTTCTGTTGGATTCCAAATGTCTGCCCTGCCCTCAAGTTTGAATGAGTTTCTTTCATCTGGTTTACATCCTAGTTTCATTTTTGGTAACACTGATTTAGAAGGTGGTCTTCGTCTATACTGAAAGCTTGATTTTAAGTGAAAGCTTTTAGGAATTGTTTAAGTGCCCTAATTTAGAGTACTGTCGCCTAGTACAGGGGTGCCCAACCCCGAGACTGTGGACCGGTACCGGTCCTTGGGTCCTCAGCTTGTTAGGAACCAGGCTGCAGGTGAGGGGGCCAGGCTTCACCTACTGCCCCCCTTCACTCAGATGACTGCCTGAGTCACCCCAACCCCTCCTTTGAGTCATAGAAATACCATCTCCCATAATCTAGTCCTTGTTGCCAAAAAAGTCGGGGATTGCTGGCCTATTACATGTGAAGCTAATTTTTGTAAATTATGTGCCTTATGACATAATTTAATCAAACTAATGCTACTGATGGTTTTTATGTGCACTGGTGGCTCAACTGGTAAAGAATCTGCCTGCAGTACGGGAGACCTGGGTTCAGTCCCTGGGTTGGGAAAATCCCCTGGAGAAGGGAAAGGCTACCCACTCCAGTATTCTGTCCTGGAGAATTCCATGGACTGTATAGTCCATGGCGTCCCAAAGAGTCAGACACAACTGAGCGACTTTCATTCACTCACTCATGTGGTAAGTATTGGGGGTTTGACTTATTCATAGTACTTGTCTTACTGGAAATTCTTCTGATTCCAACAATCACAACTAGAGTCCTGCAATCACTGTGGGGTTAGGAGAGATGTTTAGCAGTCTCTGGCTGGGTGGGGGCAGGGTGACTGATTGCGTTGTACCTGAATGAGGAAGTCGTGAGCGGCAGAATACCTTCCCCCCACCCCGTGCTGTCTCCCTCCTCCCAGCACCCCTCCTCACACCATCGGTACAGCGTCTGGGCTCCTTTTGCCTCTTTTGAGATTCGAGGCTGCTGCCTGATTGCGGCCCTCTCCTCTCTGGCTTCTACGGGAGTCCCATGGGTCCTGAACTGTCCATAGCGTGTGTTGTAGGCTAATGCCCTGAAGAAACACCCAGAGCCAAGCTGGCTTCCTGCTCCTCAACTGCAGGCTGGAGACCAGCAGACTCATGTGGGACCCCCAGTGGGGACACTTGTGGATGAAAACAACCCGAATGAGATCAGAGCAATCATGAGTGCAGCAGGAATTTCCTGAGCATATTTACTCAGGTAAACTCCTTCCAGGCCACAGGCCTGCCCTCAGGCCCTGTGGACAGAGCTTCCAGAGTAGAGTGTGTCCTGCTGCCCCTTGTTGGCCCCGCTCATTAGGGGGCTGTGCGGTGCTGCTTCTTCAAGAGCACTCTGACCTGTATGTGCCAAGCTCTGGCCTGTAGGAAAGTGTGCCTCACGGTGGCCGGGATTTGGGGGTATTTGGCTGGTGAGCCATCTTATTCCCCTTGCTCCTGAGAAATCTGTATGCAGGTCAAGAAGCAACAGTTAGAACTGGACATGGAATAACAGACTGGTTCCAAATCGGGAAAGGAGTACATCAAGGCTGTATATTGTCACCCTGCTTATTTAACTTATATGCAGAGTACATCATGCGAAATGCCGGGCTGGATGAAGCACAAGCTGGAATCAAGATTGCCGGGAGAAATATCAATAACCTCAGATACGCAGATGATACCACCTTTATGGCAGAAAGTGAAGAAGGACTAAAGAGCCTCTTGATGAAAGTGAAAGAGGAGAGTGAAAAAGTTGGCTTAAAACTCAACATTCAAAAAACTAAGATCATGGCATCGAGTCCCATCACTTCATGGCAAATAGATGGGAAAACAATTGAAACAATGACAGACTTTATTTTTGGGGGCTCCAAAATCACTGCAGATGGTGACTGCAGCCATGAAATTAAAAGACACTTACTCCTTGGAAGAAAAGTTATGACCAACCTAGACAGCATATTAAAAAACAGAGACATTACTTTGACAACAAAGGTCCATAGAGTCAAGGCTATGGTTTTTCCAGTAGTCTTGTATGGATGTTGAGAGTTGGACTATAAAGAAAGCTGAGCACCAAAGAATTGATGCTTTTGAATTGTGGTGTTGGAGAAGACTTGTGAGAGTCCTTGGACTGCAAGGAGATCCAACCAGTCCATACTAAAGGAGATCAGTCCTGAATATTCATTGGAAGGACTGATGCTGAAGCTGAAACTCCAATACTTGGGCCACCTGATGGTGAAGAACTAACTCATTTGAAAAGATCCTGATGCTGGGAAGGATTGAAGGCAGGAGGAGAAGGGGACAACAGAGGATGAGATGGTTGGATAGCATCACCGACGTGATGGATGTGAGTTGGAGCAAACTCTGGGAGTTGGCGATGGACAGGGAAGCCTGGCCTGCTGCAAGCCATTGGGTTGCAAAGAGTCAGGCACGACTGAACAACTGAACTGAACTCAATGAATAAACTTTGATAATCTTAAAATTTATTATTATTAATACAAGAAGCCGAGTATCATTGTATTAAATATAAAAACAGATATTGTCCGAAGACCCAATTTTGGGAGTTGTTTGTTTTTTTTCCTTCATAGAGAAAAATTTTAACGGAAGGCTTGAAACTTTCAAAATATAAATTCTGGAATTTGATCTCATGACTTTCTAGTCGCGTGTCATGGCTGCATTATAATTGTGGAATTTATTAAATCAAACTGAATGACATAATATATTTGATATTTTTACAAGCAGGGGATCATGTGAATGAATGGATATTGTTGTGCTTTTGAATTTTTAGCTTTTAACTCTTTATCCTGGGAATTTCCAAATATAATACAGAAGTAGAGAGAGTAGAACTATGTAGTGAATCTCCAGATACTTATCGCCCAGATTCAGTAACTAAAATCCAGTCGTTTCATCCCTGCCTCTACCCACTTACTCCTCATTGATTGTCTTCCCTTGTAGCTCAGTTCGTAGATTCTTCTTATAACGCAGGAGACCAGGGTTTGATCCCTGGGACAGGAAGATGCCCTGGAGAAGAAAATGGCAGCCCACTCCAGTATTCTTGCCTGGAGAATCCCATGGACAGAGGAGCCTGACAGGCTATAGTCCACGGGTTTGCAAAGAGTTGGACACAACTTAGTGGCTACACCACCACCTCTGATTGTCTTAAAGCACCTCTCAGGCATAGCCACGTATAAATGTTTCTAGAAGATGAAGACTTTCTAAAAGCAATTTTATTATACTATAAGAAAGTTAGCAGTAATTCATTAATGCCAGCTGTGCAGTCCGTGTTGAGATTCCTTGGTTAAGGCGTTGTTATACTTGGTGTCGTCCAATCGGGTCAGACAAGTGGCGCTGGGTGAGCTTGGGCATGTGCCCCTCCAGTCTCTGCACTGTCTGTATTTATCTGTGGAGGAAATCACATCCCTTACACCGCACCCCGCGCCCTGAGTCTGGTCGATTGCAGTTTCGTGACGCTGTGCTGAGCGGGTCCCTCTCTGGCCCCCGTATTCCTGAATTTCCTGTATGCTGGTTGTTAAGGTTGAGTGGAGTTTGGTCAGGGAGTTGGGTGTGGGCTGAGAGAGGCAGGTGGGCAGATCTCAACATCTTAACGTTGTTGAGATCACAGCACACCCTGTGGAAATGTGACCACATTGTTTCCATTCTTCTTGTTTCCACTGCTAAGGTGGACTGATGGCAGTAAGCTGACGCCATCTTCATCCTGACCCTTGCCCCCCGGGCCCACCCCTGGGGTCCTCAGCTTTCTTGACGAGACCCTGTGCATCTGCAGTTAAGCTGTGTGCGCCAGCCGCGTCTTCCCTCTCATGTGGTGTCGCCCTGCACATTAGAGGCTTGTGCCGCCCTGGTACTGACTCTGTGGTGACGTGCCTGCTGCTGCTGTCACTGTACTACGGGCGTCGCGTCTCTGTTCCACTGTCCTGGCTGCTCCGGGAGGGCTGGCGTGTGTCTCGTTCATCCAGAAAGTGCCTAATAGAGAGAGAGTTGACTTTCAAGGGAGTTTTCAGTACATGAATGGCAGTGAATGAGGAGCGGATGCTTGTAGATGGAGGCTTCGAAGCCTTGTGTTCAGATACCCTGGCCTCCAGTTTTTTATGTGAAAGCAGTTTATTTGAGGTGTACACTTAAGGTCTGTGTCTTTGCTGATGGTTTGGGGGAAATTGCTGATAAAGTTCTTTAACAAATCAATAACTGCTAGTTTTCCGCACTTATTTTATTTGTGGTTGAATGTTAGATGTTCATAAGAACCTTGTGTTTATCAGTCTTTGTTGTTTGTGTCATTATGTGTCAGTTTTGTTCTTCCTAAAGGCATCTGTACCTTTGCTTGCTCAGCTGGCTTTGTGGAGCTGGCCGACCTCATCATGTCTTGCTTAAAGTTTCAGTATCTAGTGCTACTCTTTCCTAAGAGGGAAAACTGCATTTTAAAATATTAATATAGTTCTCAAGTCAATTATATTAAGAAATTAAGTGTACCAGTAGTCACATAAAAGCATTGCAACTTTGTACTTGTCTTTATAGCTATGCCTTACAATGTAACATAAGTTTTCTCTGGTACTGAAATAATGTGTTTCTGTTTTTCTCTTCCCTTCTCCTGCCTCTGTATAAGGAGTCAGTCACTGCCAACCTAAGGTTAAGAAGGCTAGGCGCTTCCTCCCCTTGGTCTTCTGTGCCCACGAACCTCCTTCTGCGGGTACTGCACTCAGCTTTTGCAAGGCTCTCCTCTTAACCACCGCTGACCCCAGCGGCCAGGCAGCAGTCTAACGATGCTCGTAGGTGGTGCCTGCCCCGGGGTCAGCGCAGAGCTGCCTGGCAGGGGCCTGTGGGCCGCCCTCCTGATGGAAGACTCTTTGTTTGCCTGTTCGCTGGCGTTTACATGCATGACAGGACGAGAAGTCTCTTCCTGTGTGATGTCAGTGTTTTCCCAAAGGGGCCGGCAGGTACCACACCTCTGCCTCGTGGGTTTCCTAACACGGCATGTGAGTGATGGAAGAGGATGGTCCCAGTGAGCCCCGGGGTCTCCTCGCCTGCTTCGTGGGCACATACTCAGGGATGCTGCAGAGGACGGGCAGCCAAGGCTCCGGAAGCGTTATCTAGGAGCGGGAGATGGTGAGGGTGTAGCGACCGGGACGGTCCTCCTGCAGACGCTGTGTGGATGTGAGTGAAAGTGCATCAGTCAGCAGATCCCCAGGAGGAGCGGCGGGAGCCCAGGGGCTCCCTGATGAGGCCTTCTGAGGGCTGTCCCTGCGTGCGCACTAATGACCTGCAGTTCTCATTTCTGTCCAGGAGGATGCACGCTCCTTGTGAGAGTAGTAGACTTGTCTTTAACATTTAACGGCGAGAAGCGGCCAGACTAGCTTTGCTTAAAGTGGCAGAAATGCACCTAAACTGCTGTTTACCTGGGGTAACATGAGGAGGCTTCAAACTCCATTAATGCCTTCAAGTCAAGTAAACATGCTTACTCCCCCATCCTACAGCCTTTCTTTTACCTTCTGAATTAGACTGGGGAGGGGGGTGGTTTTTGTGTTTTCCTTACACTTTGATTTACTTGTCATTTTAATAGTGTTTTCCCTTCTCTCCCCCTCCCTTCCTCTCTCTCTTCCCCTCCCCTTTCCCTTCCTCTCCCTTTCTTTGCATGCCACCCGGATCCACAGATGAAATTAGTGGGGACGGTAATATTTATTTTCACGTTTGTGTTACTAATGTGAGATGATTATATATAGATATAAATACCACTCAGTTTTTAATGAAAGGCAAAATGTGGCTTAGATCCAACAGAATATGTATGAAAAAATGATGGTGTGAACCGGTGATCCAAGTATGAAACGATGGTGTGAACCGGTGATCTCTTTAGAGTTGTTCAGGGCTTTAACCCAAGAAGCGTCACCATCCGTTTCTTTACCACGTCTCAGTGGTAAACTTGAGTCGTGTATATTCATAGAGAATTTGAAAGATCTCATTATTAGAACTAGAGGTAAAGGGAAATTGTCAAAACTGTTTCGTTCCTCAGTAGGTGGGAGAGAATCACATGCCTTCCCACATTCGTGTGTGTGGTGATGTTTAGTCGGCAGCGGCGTGGTGGGAAGGAAAGAAGGAAAAGCGGTTTCTAAGAGTCACAGAGACTAACGCATTAAGGAACTGCCAGCAGTTGTTATTTTTCAGGCAGTGAGGACACCCCTTCATAAACTAGAAATTTAAAAGTCACATGCAGTGTCTTGTTTTCCATTTCCTTTGGGTGCTACCTGCATGAAGCTTTGTACTCTTTTATCATAAGGAGTGAGATTTTATAAACTAAAATTAAGGGGGGTTACACTTTTCCTCACTATTCAATGAAAAATACTTTCCCTGAAGATTCCATCTGTGCTCCTGTCTGTCGGGTTGGTGACGTGATCCTATGAGCAAAGCACCTGCGGTGAAAGGTCTGAACTGAGTGTGCCTGGGAGAGTGTGTCTGCCTCCCGGGACGCGAAGCCAGAAGCTCTGGCCTCCGGGACAGCTTGGTGGCAGCTGCTGGGCAGCTCCTCCATGGCGGGCTCCCTGTGTGTCTGCGAGGCCCCCAGCAGGGATTCTGAGCGTGTTGTCTTCACTGGTGAGCAGAGGGGCGAGAGCCTGACTGTCCCGGGCTGCTGGGTGAGTGGTCAGGGCCCAGGCTGCAGCCTCGTTGGGTGACCTGCAGCAACGCGCTCGCCCCCTGGAGTCTGCACGTGAAGAAGGCCTTGGTGGTGGTTGTGAGGATTACTATGAAAGCATAGAAATTTAAACAGATGAGTACAAGCAAGTGGTTATTACCACGTTGTTTATCTAAAGAAAACTTTTTTTTGTGCATTTCCCCACATTTGGATTTCCTGGTACTATGAATCAGGGTGAGTGTTATTATCCTCATTTTACAGGTGAATATGCTGAGCCCTAAAGGTCTAATCCCCGAGTCTAAGGCAGGGATCCACAAACTAAGGCCCAAAGTCCAATTATAGCCCACCCCTGTTTTTGTATTGATCCTTGAGCCAAGAAGGATTATTAGATTTTTTTAAATGGTTGAGAAGAAAATCGAATAGTATCTGTGGCACAAAACTCTGTGAAATTCAGATTTCTGTGTCCATCATTAAGTTTCATTGGAACACAGTCATACCTTTGGTCATGACCAGTCTGCTCACTCCTGCAATGTAAGCGGCAGAGTTAAGTAGTTGCAGTGGAGACTTTGAGCAGCGAGTCTCAAATACCTACCCTGTGACCTTGTACAGGAAAAGTGTGCTGGCCCTGGTGCAGGTCGCAGAGCAAAGCAGCACCCTTCCTGGCTTCCTGAAGGCCCCCTTCCCCTCCACCTGCCGTCCCCACAGCCTCCAAGGCTGGTGGCGGGTTCCGTCCAGGTGGCGTGAGGAGCTGTGACGGCTCGGTCCCACTGCTCTGCTGGGCAGTGGAGTCCCCGCGTACACACTGCTCTGGGGGCAGTGCGTCCTCAGGCCCCCCGAGGGCAGCAGGCCTGGCCGGTGGAGGTGGGCACAGGGTCGCACCGCTCGCCCCCTTCCCCACGAGGGGACTGAGGGTACCCAGGAGGTGGCTGGGCTGCAGATCCTGGTCCAGTGGTGGCATTACAGCCAAGCGTCTGCTGCCCTGTCCCTCCCGCTCTCCAGACTGACCCTTCACAGGGCCTCCAGAGGCGTCAGGCCCTTGGGGGACGTGCACACCCATGGTTTTCGGGGCGACTTTACTAGGTCTCGTTCACTTTCTTTGAGAATGAGAACTTGATACTTTTCTCTCCTCATTTGAGTTGTCAGTTTCTGTCCTTTTAACGTGTCTTCCCATCATTTTTATTTTACCACATACTGTGACACCAAACACTGTAAATTGCAGTGTTACCCGTGGTCTCAGAGGCCTCCATTCTCCAGAGTGTTCATTTTGAAATGTCCACCTCATGGTCTGAAAAACCTTTCCGATTGCAGTGTTACCCATGGTCTCAGAGGCCTCTATTTTCCAGAGTGTTCATTTCGAAATGTTCAGCTCATGGTCTGAAAAACCTTTCCGATTGCAGTGTTACCCAGGGTTTCAGAGGCCTCCATTTTTCAGAGTGTTCATTTTGAAATGTTCAGCTCATGGTCTGAAATTGTCTCCCAAGTGCACAGACCCACAAAATCCTACCTGGGCACAGCCCTGGAGCAAAGCTGCACCCACATTGGGGGTGAAGCCCCAAGCACGCATAGGGGAGCGTGCTGAGGTCTCAAGGCACAGGGGGTCTGGTCTCACAAGTCGAAGCCCAGAAACACGGAAAGTGACAAAGAGCAGAGCGGAGCGCGGTGGCCCGGGCGCCCTCCTGGAGGGCCCTCCAGTGCCTCTAGGGACCTCAGGTTCCAGCCTGGGAAACAGGATGATGAGAGCGGGACCCACCATGTACGATTTCCCTGAGGTTAAGCTGTGGTGCGTGCAGTTGTTTGTGATGGTGTCTGGCAGGTACCCAGGTCTTCTTTAGTCGTGACCCCATGATTAAGTGGAGCACACACAGCTCTTCCCTTCATTTTGTGCCGAGATCTTTCAACCTGCCTCCTTTTCCCTTATGTTTTCCTCCTACGATGAGTTTATTTGGGGGCCAGGTTTCAGGGTGGACTCCAGTTGTTCAGGGACCGTTGATTATGTAAAAGTACCTCTCATATCAGAGTCGTACTAGCCCATCATCCTAAAAACCAGGAAAAAAAAATGGAAAATAGAACCAAATCCATATCAAGAGTTCTTGGAAAAATACGCCAGGTATTCTCACTTGAAAAGCCCTATATAGAAGGTCACGGTAAACCTTTGTAGGTGCACGTGCCTTCACCAGTGTTGACCCTGCCACATGAGAACCAGCTTGTGACGAACACAGCAGCAAGAACTCCCTGTTCACCTGGCGTCACAGTATCCACACCCACATTCATCAGAGTGATGCCTGGGTGTTTTGGATAATCCCCAGAGCTTTTTTTTGCAGCATTCACATAGCACCAAAAGACAAGAACTGCAGACTCTTGTGATGGTGTAAACTAAAGTGTATGCAGCTTGGTTTTTTCCCACATCAGCTTTGCGTGACAGCCTGACGTATGAGCCATCTTCTTTCTCCCTGAGAACCAGTTCAGAGGTTGTCTCTGCCAAGGGTTTCATAAAAAGAGGCAGTCCTGGGAGCCGCTGCAGCCCCGCCCAGCGGGCTCCTGCCAGGGAGGCCTCAGAAGTGGAGGGCACCAGGGAGACCGCAGCCCTCAGTCACCTGTCGTCTGCAGGGCCCACCGCAGCTTGATGTGCGCCTCTGTAGTCTTCGTGACAACCCCCGTAGGTGGACGTGTTCTCATCGGACACGCGAGGGTGCCACCGAAGCACAGACAGGTGCCCAGACAGGGGGCTGTGGGCGCCCACGTGCAGCTCTGCCTGGCTTGGCTCCCCCGCCTCAGGGTCGCGCCCCACCACCACCACCACCACATGACTGGAGTGCATGCCTGCTTTCTGTTCAGTGAGTGGTCACCAGGTGCCTCCCCTGTGCCAGCTCTGGTTTGCAGGCTGAGAACATGACAGTAGATGAGATATAGCAGGGCCCGCTGCCCCGGGGGCTGCTCCCGATGGGGCAGACAGTTGTCAAAGAACCAGAGGACCATCAGAGAGTTGGTAGTGTCGGGCCCTGAGCAAAGCACATCGGGAAGCGTGATCGAGAGTGACTGGGGGCCAGGAGGGGTCTCAGCAGGTGGCACCCAGGCGGCAGACATTGTTACTTAGGGAGACGGAAGGACAGGCAGACGGTGACCCTGGCGGCCCTGGGAAACCCGCTGAGCCCTTGGCCCCTGACATGTTAGTGGAGCCGAGAGCCCAGGTCAGGGGCTGATGATGACTCCAGGGCAGCTCTGGTAACAGGGCGGCTGGGAGAGGGAGGCACAGCTAGTGTTCTGGGCAGTTTTGCAGCAGAATCTGGCCTCCTCAGGGTTAGCTAATGTGTTTTGCCTCTAAGGGGGTGTGTGGTTTATGTGAAAGAGGACTGTGGGGGTGGGTCTGTGGTTTCAGGAAATCGAGTTGCCACACTGCAGACAGTGTGGACAGCTGAGGGTCCGCCTGTGTGGCCTTAGCCTGACACAGTCCCCCACTTAGTCCTCTTCCTCACCGCGGCCTTAGCGGCACACTCTGTCCCCAGTTTCATTTCACAGTTTCCACTCAGCCACCTTACACAAAAGCAAGGCTGCAGACCTAGAAACCACCACCCACTCCTGGTATCCACTGAGAACAGGATGGGAGGGAGAAATGTAGGAATGTAAGGTGTGGGATAGATTAAATAATTTTTTTCTTTAATCCTAAAAGTAGTAATATTTATAAACATGTAAGAATAACATAAATTATCCACCTGTCATACAGGACTTAGGAATAGGTTACATTTCCTAAATGCCTAAAGGAATGCCTGTTTATGGACTTTATGTTCTGCCAGTTGAATTTGTTGTACTTGAATTACTTTTAATGATGACAAATTAAGAAATGAATTCTTCCAACTACTCTTCCATTTGATCTCAGTTGTTAGCATAGCAGTATGCAGAACAGTTGACATCCTAGTGACTATAAACAGTATATAGTCTCTGTTGTCTTTGGTTTCTATAATTTTAATATCTGAATGAAGTAATAATGGCAGCACAGAAGAGACAACTTTTAATTCTTTAGAACTTACTGCCTCCTGTGCTGGCCCAGGAGCTTAAACCCTGTGCACAGAGCTACTCAAAGTTTTCCTCTTTCCAGTATGAGAAAAACAGAGAAGACCTGAGTGATTTTCAGTGTAATTATTATCCAAGTGAGTGCGTGGCTTTCTCAAAAGGAGTTTCCCCCCATTAATATGGAGGTGGGTCGTTAAGTTCCTGCATTACTGAGAGGAATTAGTGGAAGCATTGGAACTCCTTGACATTACACCAGAGAAGAACTCGATTTCTATGCTATTCTGATTTTATTATTTTTGACACATCTTTTACCCTTTTTTTTTCTTTTACCCTTTTGACATGAATATACACTGTTCAAATATCTGAGTGAAAAGTTACAAGGGCAATTCCTGGGTTGCTTTCACCCTGAACAGATAAAATAAGTTAGCCATTTTGTTTTCTGAAGAACATGCAGAATATGCCGTGAGGTCTGACTGCGAAGTCTGAGCTGTGCTTGGAGAAGCCCCAGTGGATGGCGGTGCGGCTTCACGCGTGTGCTGGGTGTAGTGAGGCGGGCTTCCCGGTCAGCCCGACTGCTCGGTGCGTTTGACTCGTGCACACAGCCATGGCTGTCTTCTGTATTCCACAGAGTTTTCTGTGGCAGTCTGTGTGTTCTCTGAGGAACAAGTCTGTGTATTATGACATGGTGGACCATGATGTCACCTTTATTTCCATAAATGACTCATGTCTGAGCAAAAATTGAGTAATAGTGTTTTAAGAATATGTCAGCATAGCAGGGGATGCAGGCAGATCATTTTGCCTTTTCAAATTAGTTCAAGGCCAGGGGGTCTGAGATTTAACCTCTTCCAACGTACATGTTTCCTCTCCTGCAGAAACGGATGATTATGCTGAGATCATCGACGAAGAGGACACTTACACCATGCCCTCCAGTGAGTAGCTCTGGTTTCGCTCCTGTTCAGATTTGACAGAGTTTAAATATCTTGTGTTTAAATGTTTTAGGTGTTTATTGTCCATTTAATACCTTATTGAGTTCATAGTAGGAATACTCTCTGCAGCCTTCCATGCCCACTGCCAGGTCGGAAACCTGAAACTCAAATATCTATTGTAAGTCAGTTCAGTTATGGGGATTTTGTAATCTTGTGCTCTTGCTCTGGGATAATATATAACCTTTAATGATTAAAACATTTCCTGTCTGTAGGAAATTAGTATTTAAACACACGCACACACACACACACATACAGTTCTTTGAATGCACACCTTTTAATGAATCACATTTCCCCTCTGAGGTTTCATTTCTTATTGCCCTTGACTAAGCAGTTACAAAGAGCTTCCTGTGTCCGGTCCTTCCAGCTTGGGGTGGGAGGTGTGGGGAGAGCAGGACTCCTCACCGTCCCCCGCACCCCAGCAGCCCAGCAGTGTCACCCTCTGCTGGTGAGGAGAGCCTGGGAGCCCCAGCTCTCCAGGTGGGGTGTATATAGTCCCAGCTCTGGAAAATTTCAAGGGCGTGTCTCAATTAAAAAAAAGTTAACCCTACCTCTTAAAGAGGCCTGATTAGGAGTCCACCTTAAGCCTTCGAGGCCTAATATTTCAGCATCTAATATCCTGGTTTCAGTAAAGCTCTGTGTGTTTGTGAAATGTTTCAGGTGCTTTACCCTGTTGTATAAATATTTTGAAAGTTTTCAATAGATTTCCTACACATGTTGAGTAGATTTACCAAAATAAAGGGAAATAGCCCAGTCCAGCTCAACCCTGTGGGTTATTCTGTGGGGTAAAAGGTGAGGGTGGAGGGGCTGAACTTCATTCTAACGGCTCCTGGGTTGGTGATTTGAAACAGAGGCAAGAGTTGAGAATTAATGGGTTTACTCTGACTTGCGGTAGCAATTCAGAAAAATGTTTAAATTTTGGTTTCAAGGTTTGGTTAGCCACTTAGTCTTTTATACATTCTTGCAGACTATCCAAATTTTTATTTGTATATTATTCATAGTTGAGTAGTAAATGTCCAACATGCTAACTTTTATCTAAACCCCAGAAAAATGGGTTATCATATAAGGAGTTTATGGGATAGAAATGTGAAGCATTGTATATCACATTGCGTTAACTTGAGGATATTGTGTTGTTACTTGTGTTTGGTCCTCTTTTTTTGACTCATATTTGTAGTCAAAATATTTAACAAAGTAAATATTGAAATGTACTCTCCGAGTTTGTTGTTAACCTGATTGCTATTAGTTATTTCTAAGCAAGGTCTTCACTTTTTTTCTCTCTTAATTGCGATACAGAAAGCTATGGAATAGATGAAGGTAACAGGATTCCTTTAAAATAACTGCATTTGCTTGCAATTGCAACCCATGGAATGAAATGGGATGTCTCAGTTTCCAGTTAACTTTTATTTTTAAACTTTTTCATTGGTTTACTCATGCTGTTAAATCAATGGAACTACCAGCTAAAGTGATTTTAAAGAGGAAAATGACCATCTAAAATTTGGGTTGAATTTTCCATGTGATTTCTAATTTGACAGATTAGAAGAAATCAAAATACCAAGCAGGTCATTGGATTAGAATCATCTCCTAGGTTCCCAGTGGGTAGTTTCTTTCCATGTGCCTCCAAATAATTGGGTTTGTATAAATCATGACAATTGAATACATTAATTTGAGGCTGATGCTCTCAAAAATATAAAATACTCGTAATCTATTATGTGATTACATTCAACCTTGTTCCCAAATCTGACTTAAAGCTGGTCCTAGAAGCTACCTCTTTAAACTCATTTAGCTCCGTGAATAATATAGATAGGATTATAATGAAGTGGAACACTCTTGAACTTTTAAAACACAAAATTACTCATGCCACAATTTTTTCTCTCCATGTCTACAGACTTTAGTTACTTGTGAAATAATTGCTTTAAATAACCATTTTTTAGACTTCATATATTAATACCTGAACTAATAGTATGTATTAATTAAACATATATAAACTTGGAGCAATTATTTAGCAGACTATCGAATTAATCAACTGAATCAGACATTGAAAAATATGAAAAAAAAATCTACCTTGTATAAAACTCATCATTTTGATAATTTAAGCAGTGCCATAACAGCTACATAAATTCCTTTTAAAATACTCGTTTAAGAGAATTCCACTCTGTTTAAAGCATTTTCATAGAATGATGTGCCACCGATGAAATTCTTACTCATCGATGATGATGAAATGAAATGTGTCCTGTGTTTTCTGCACTGGGGATGTTGCACTGAAGTGTCTTCTGGTGTGTGGATCGTGTTTTGCAGCCAGGGACTATGAGATTCAGAGAGAAAGAATAGAACTCGGCCGGTGCATCGGAGAGGGCCAGTTTGGAGACGTGCACCAGGGCACCTACACGAGCCCGGTAGGTCCTGTCGGGTGGCCCCCCACCGTGCCTGCGCCGCCCCCCGCATGGCCCACTCCTGTCTCTCCTCATGAGGCCCTGCTTCTTCAGGATATTTGCTGTTGTCCTCTGCAAGGCTTATCATATATGTCAATTCACTTGCTATGTTCAGAAACCCAAACTGGCAAAATTAGCTCCTGAGAGCTGGTTCTGTCTTTTATTTGTTCTAATCTTTCATTCAGCCTCTGTCATCAGTAACAGTCCTATAGCCCTTTGCCCACGTGCTGCCCCGAAATCCCAGGCTTAGCATGTATCTGAAGACATGCATCTTTAGAGAGCAGTGCTTCTTTTGCATTTTTTTTTACTGTCGTAAAGCACCATGTTCAATATTTGAGTGTGAACTGACAGGATTGACTGATTTATGGTCTTATGGAAGTTTCTGTTGTTATTCAGTTCTTTTGTAAAAATGGGCATTTTGTGTCATTTCTAAAATATATCAGTCAGCCTTAGGTTCACACAGAGATAGAAGTCATAAGCTGGTCCTAGAAGTTTGCTCTCTAAAGTTCAGAGCACTGTGCTGTGTTGCTGGTGACTCTCAGAAGGCCCCGAGCTCAGACTTTCAGCAGACAGACCTCTGTACCAGCCGGCTGCTCTCCTCCGGGGGCCTGGCGACCGCTCCCTCCTGAGTGGTCCTGCCGCCTGGGCACACCTCCCACAGGGTCGGAGAGGGACTGCAGTCCCACGAGTGTGTGTTACAGTCTTGTGGCCTGTTATATCACTCTTGTTTGAGAGCATTTCCTTTAGAATCACAGTGTACAGTTAGCATGAAACCTAAAACAAATTAATGCAATTGGGGATACTTTTAAGATAAGCAAAAAAAGATGCACCATGACCATGACTTGTAGGTGAGCATTTCCATTTAAAAGAACAATATTTAAAGCATTCATTAATTCCACAAATATTTATTGAACACAATCTATGAATCAGGTGCTGTTCTAATGAGTTTTTTTTTTTTGGCGAACAGGGCACCTGAAGTAAGAGAAATGGGTGGTTCTGGAAGGGACCACCCAAAGCCAAGGATAGGATAAGCACATACATTTCCAGTTAAAATCTTCCCTGGTGTTTTTTTTAATTGATTTGCTTATTTCTTACTTTTCTTTTGAACTTGGACTAGGAAGTTCAGCTTCTTTGGCTCCCAGGGTAACATGTTTTCGTGGTTTCTTGCCACCCCCAACCTTGGCGTGTCGCCCCTCTCCCTGACCTCTTGGTGTGGAGGGGCTGGGAGGTTCCATCTTAACACCTCTGTCTCCCTGTGAGGTTTGTCTAGCCCCTGCTTCCACCACTGTCTGAACGGCGGCCGCTTCCAGGACCCCTCCCCACCCCATTCAGCGCCGACGTCCACTCTCCAGTGTGACTCTCTGTCCCACCAACATCTCAAGCCCGTCACATTCAGAGTTGGGCTTCTGGTCAGCTTCAGAGACCCCAGCTTGCCCTCTCCCGCCCAGCCTGGCATCCTTTCCCCCGTCACCCCCCAGCCCTCCACAGCTCCTGCGCCTCCCCTCACCTCCCTGGAGCGTTCCTTCCTGGCCAAGGTCAGCAAGGCCCTCCTCTGCCCAGACCCTGTCCCGGCACGGGGGCTCTCACTCAGGGTAGAAGCCACAGGGCCGCCCCTCCCCTCCTGCAGGTCTTTGCTCTCGTCCCCTCTCCCCTGTCTCTGGGAGCTTACCTTCTAACCTGTTAGGTGACGTCTCAGTGTCTTGTTCGCGGCGTCTGTCTGTGTCCTCTGCTGGGACATCGGCTGGCGGTGCTCAGGGCTGCGAGCCCTTGTTCCTGGTACTGCCTGAGCCCCTGCAGGAGTCCTGGAGGCACCCCCACCAGGTGTTTGTGGGACACGAGTCACCTGCAGCATTTTACCTGCATGTCTGCTTTCTGGGAATTTTCTACAGAGGATTTTAAGTGTTCCTCCCACTGTTAAGGTTGTATGGTTCTGATTCTGTCTGATCCAGAATCCACAGGGTTGCAGAATAAACCGCTTTTCCTGAACATGCCCACTGATTAACACAGAGACCTCTTGTTCCATGTGTCCCCATCACAGGAGAATCCAGCTTTGGCAGTTGCAATTAAAACCTGTAAAAACTGTACTTCGGACAGCGTGAGAGAGAAATTCCTTCAAGAAGCCTGTAAGTTTCTAGACATTTCTGTGGGACTCCATTTTGACTTTCTGTCTGTGAAATCCAAACAGTCTCTAAAGAAGTAAGAAGAACAATGTTTTGACTTTTATGCTCTTGCCATGCAGTTAATATCTGTTTTTGTCGAGGCTCATGGGTACAGAGTTCTCCAGGCCGACTGTCACATTTTTGGGGTGTGAAGACAGATTAACTTACTGCCTTTATCCCCTGGCACTTTGTACCGTAACCATCTCCACACTGGGCTTGGGTGGATGTAGTGATGCCCGCAGGCCATGGAGTTGGGCGGTGAGCAGGACAGACACAGTCCCTGTAGGATGGAACCCTAGGATGAGTGGGGAGCAGAGCCCAGACCATCCCGAGGTGCTGCTGTAGAGTCGTGTATGGCGGGTCCTCTCCTGAGGACAGACCCGCGAAGAGCAGGCCCTGGTCCTGCCTGTGTGCACATGTCGGCTCCTTCCCGCCTGCCTCAGGCTGGGTCCTTAATCCTGCTTCCACTCAGCTTGTCCCTCCCGACCAGCAGAGTTAAAGGATCTCTCCTTCAGAGGCTTTGTCACGGGAGCCCGTCTTTCCCTTCCCAAGTGTCCGTAATTAAATACACAATGCCTCTCTCTTCCTCTAGAGTATAAGTCCCGGTGGGCACAGGGACCGTGTCTGTTCTACTCGTGGCTCAGACCCAGAGCCAGCACAGGGCTTAACTCACAGAAGGTGGTTGTAGCCGTTGGTCGCCTGAATGAATCTTGGTATCTTTCATTATATGTACATGGAATTTCAATAAATATTTACCACCCAGCAGTCCAATAAGTGATAAGTCATGGAGTAAACCGGATGGTCAGTTCATCAGTTGAGTCAGAGCAAGTCCTGATCCTGTTCTCGGGTCTTTAACTGGAGTACGAGACAGGGCCTGGTGATGACTTCCGTCTGAACTAGTGTGCTGTTTCGGGGCGTCGAGGCTGAGGAAACAGAGGCTGAAAATCAGCCGGCATTACCCAACAGCCTCTGTGCTTTTCCTTTGGTGGTAAAATGCATTATATGTTTTCAAAAAAGCACATTTTTAAAAATTGCTTACCTTTCTCTAAAATTTTTGCGAGTAGGTATTATCTTGTAATTTTTGTAAGACTTTGGAATCATCATTACAAAAATCAATTTTAGCATTTTGTAGTAGTCAGGTCAAACTAACCTTGTTTTCTTTTTTGAAAGGCTGTTATTTCAGAGAAACATGCTACAGGCAGTATACCCAAAATCCTGTAGGGCTTTGACAGGCTCTATGTGTAAGAGTGGCAGTATGGCTTAGATCAGGGGTCATTAAACTCTTTCTCTGAAGGACCGCGTAGTAAATATCCTGGGCTCTGCAGGCCAGGTGGTCCCTGTCACGGATGCTCAGCTCTGTCGTCAGAGTGTGGAAAAGCCACAGACAGCTCAAAAAGGAGCCAGCAAGATGTGTTCCAGTGACTGATTTGTGGAAGCCAGCAGCCACCCTGGCCCGTGCTTCTGGCCCTGGGTGAATGAGTCAAACTGCTGCAGCTGATGGGCTTCAGCCCAGTGAGGATGGACTCTCCTAGTGACTGCACGAGTCTCCTCTTAGCCCTCCGCTGTGTGGTGTTTTTAATAATTACTCCAGAGGAGATGTAAAAGCTTGTTAACTGTATGTTAAGGGTGACATAAAACCAAAAGTGATGGTAAGTCAATTGAAAATAAGAGTAGATGTACTGGGTTCCTGAATGTCTGTCCCAAGCCATCACACTGTACTGAAGTGATGAACTGTGCTGACCAGATGACACCCAGTGGTACCTTTTGGATTTTGCTCCAGGTATTGTGTGTTGTGTTTTTTGTTTGTTTCTTTGCTTTAAACTACCAGGTCCTGTTTTTGGAATGTGTGGGAAAAATTGAGGGGAGACTACCTTAAAGGTTTGAGTTCTCTCAAGTGAGGGTGTAGTTAGTCTTCAAGAAGAGCCAGTGTGGTCCTTGGGTGCGATGGTAGCATATACAGTCTTCCATATCTACAAGTTTTAGATCCATAGGTTCAACCAACTGTGGGTTGAAAATACTGAGAAGAAGAGTTCCAGAAAGTCCCAAAAAGCAAAACTTGACTTTGCTATGCTCTGGCATCTGCATACATGGCTTTTACGTTGTACTAGGTATTACAGGAGACAAGCAAAATATACGGAGGCTGTGCACGTGCTCCATGCAAGCACTCCGCTGTTGTCAGAAGCACTTGAGCATCCACAGATGTTGGTTTCCCCCCGGGGGTCCTGGGACCCGTCCCCTGTGGATATGGAGGGTCAGCTGTGCGGTGTCCAGAGTGAAAGCAGAGAGGCCTGTCCTCCCCAGATGGACCCAGCACTGAGATGCAGTCCACATTGGGCTCTGTACTAAAGTGGGTATGATGAGACATTTTCTCCTGCTGTGTTGCTTGTGTCTTTGCTTGGCAGCATAAAAATCAACCCTGAATTGGTCCCCAAAATTTAAAAAAAATGTTTTTTTCATATCAGTAGTCTGTGAAATCCAGGTGCTTTGGGGGGACCACTGCGCTAGGTTGCCTATAAAGTTGCTTCCAGGTTTGAGGTTTGACAGTTCTAGGAATGTTGTCCTGCGTCTCAGTCATCCTAGTGTACTGTGCGAGTGATTCCTTAGCCTGATGTTAGAAATGTGTACATGCTTAAAAATAGGTCCCCACATCTAGGTATGTGTGTTCATGTGCAGGGCTCTCTTGGTCATCTTAGGCTCAGCAAAGCAGTCACACTCACGCAACGGCCACAGGCCACATCTGGCGTCAGACTTTCTGAAAGGAGTTCAGGCCTGGAAGCCACATGCTGGCATTTCCCCATAGGGAAGTCCTCACAGTGGTCCAGGAACTGCTTTCTTAGCCCTGATAGCGCTGGGAGGTGATGCGGCCACAGTGGTGGATGCCGGAGCCTCTTGGGTCAAGGAGAAATCCTCTCAAAGCCACCGGCATGGGCTCTGGGGCCCTGCAGGGAACGCCCAGCTGCATTCACACTCAGGAACGTGCCTGCTGCCCCACCAGCAATTTACCAATCAGGTGGTTTTACCATGAAGGGTATTTCTTAGAGAATGAATCACACATTCCAGCTTGGTCAGGTTTCCAGAGGAAAACCTGGAAAGTTAGCCTCAGGTCAGATTTGTCCCTGGAAAAGAAGAGGAGGTTTTCTCAGCCAGTGAAAAGCACTAAATCCTAACCACCGGACCGCCGGGGAACTCCTGTTAGCCCCGAGTCTTAACTGAGCTCGTCTTCAGAAAACTGAAAGATCTTCAAAGGAATGATGGTTTTGGACACCTGTTTCTCTGCAGTAACGATGCGTCAGTTTGACCACCCTCACATTGTGAAGCTGATCGGAGTCATCACAGAGAACCCAGTCTGGATCATCATGGAGCTGTGCACACTTGGAGAGGTACCTACCCCCCACCTACTGCACCTGCACCCGCAGGGAGTGCATGACATACACTCTCGTAGTATACATAGGGTGTGTATATGTGTGCATATACATAGTGCACACTCGGAGAGGGACCCGCCCCCCCATCCACCATGCCTGCACCCGCAGGGGAGTGTGTGACATACACTCTCGTAGTATATGAGAGTGTGTATATGTGTGCATATACATAGTGCACACTCAGGTACCCATCCCTCATCTATCATGCCTGTACCCGCAGGGGAGTGCGTGACATACACTCTCATAGCATACATAGAGTGTGTATATGTGTGCATATACATAGTGCACACTCGGAGAGATACCCACCCCCCATCTGACGTGCCTGTACCCGCAGGGGAGTGTGTGACATACACTCTCATAGTATACATAGAGTGTGTATACGTGTGCATATACATAGCACACACTCGGAGAGGTACTCACCCCCCATCTACCACGCCTGCACCCGCAGGGGAGTAGGTGACATACACTCTTGTAGTATACATAGAGTGTGTATATGTGTGCATATACATAACGCACACTTGGAGAGGTACTCACCCCCCATCTACCATGCCTGCACCCACAGGGGAGTGCGTGACATACACTCTCGTAGTATATGAGAGTGTGTATATGTGTGCATATACATAGTGCATACTCGGAGAGGTACTCACCCCCCATCTACCATGCCTGCACCCGCAGGGGAGTGGGTGACATACACTCTCGTAGTATACATAGAGTGTGTATATGTGTGCATATACATAGCGCACACTCGGAGAGGTACTCACCCCCCATCTACCATGCGTGCACCCGCAGGGGAGTGCGTGACATACACTCTCGTAGTATATGAGAGTGTGTATATGTGTGCATATACATAGTGCACACTCAGAGAGGTACCCGCCCCCCATCCACCACCCCTGCACCCGCAGAGAAGTGTGTGACATACACTCTCATAGTATACATAGAGTGTGTATTTGTGTGCATATATATAGTGCACACTCGGAGAGGTACCTGCCCCCCATCCACTGCGCCTGCACCTGCAGGGAAGTGTGTGACATACACTCTTGTAGTATACATAGGAGAGTGTCTATATGTGTGCATATATATAGTGCAGACTCAGAGAGGTACCCGCCCCCTATCCACCGCGCCTGCACCCGCAGGGAAGTGTGTGACATACACTCTTGTAGTATACATAGGAGAGTGTCTATATGTGTGCATATATATAGTGCAGACTCAGAGAGGTACCCGCCCCCTATCCACCGCGCCTGCACCCACAGGGAAGTGTGTGACATACACTCTTGTAGTATACATAGGAGAGTGTGTATATAGGTACATATACATACTATAGTAGTATAGTATCCTCATTAAATTCCCAAGTAGTCCCCTAGCTCAGTGCAGGTGGCAGGGTCTTCCCACCCCAAAGCTTTGTCAGGACTGGAAGCAGCAGGTGACTAAGTGGTTCTCTTCTTTCCCTCTTTCTTTCTGTTGCCTAAAGAACTTACCCACTGATTTGAGTGTGAAAGAAGCAATGTTAGTGGAGTTTGGGTAAATGTGCTGAATTTAGGTACATCAGAACTACTGCTTCATCTTTGGGGGAATTGACTTTGCAGTGTCTTTCAGACCAACTAATGTGAGTCACAGTTTCCTCTTAAAGCGTAGCAGAGTGTGGGCGATGTCCTTATTTGACTCTCCCAGAAGCTCCCAGGTAGGTGTGTCACCACCACCTGGGCGAGTCCCCACCCAGGCCGCTAAGTCATGGGAGGGCGGGCCGGCTGGGCCCCACCCTCTGTCTGTCTCCAGGCAGCTCCATGCGCCCTGCTTGGGGTAAACCTTCCAGATGTGTGCATGTGACGTTGGTGCTGAAATCTAGTAGTTTAACCGTCTAACACATTATACATATTAGTTGTTTCTGGAAGGACACCAAGCAGTTTTGCTTTTAGTGAGAATCGAGGTTTTAGTTTCTGGGAATCAAAGATGGCCTGGGTCCGTCGTCCTCTCACGATGGTGTTGGCCCTGCCTTCTGGGGACAGGGCGCTGCCCGCGGCCTCCCTGATCTCCTCCCCAGCTCTGATGACAGCTCTGTGAGGCTCTAAGAAACCGTGGGTAATATTAGATGGTCTAAAAGACACTGCAAAGTGAAGTCCCCCAGAGGTGAAACAATGGTTCTGATTTACTTAAATTCAGCATTCATTTACCCAAACCTCTCTGACATTGCTTCTTTCACTCTCAAATCACTGGGCATTTTCTGTAGGCAACAGCAAGAGAGAGGGGAAAAAATAACCACTTGGTCACTGGCCACTTCCAGTCCTAACAAAGCTTTCTGGTGAAGGAATTATTTTAAGGCCTCCAGGATTTCTCTTCTTCCTCTCCCACACCTTTCCAAATAAAATGGAGTGTTTACATAAATTGTTTTCTTCACATAATTTTTCTGCTTTTGTTTTTGGAGAATTTGCTAATTGTTCTGGGTTAGATCATTAATAATGCTTCTCCTTTATGTGTAGGGAGATTGTGTAGGATTGGAGTTCATCTGCCTTCTTTGCTATATTAGCATTTTGCCGAATTAGTCCTGATAGTCATAGTATGGACCATAGTAAGCCTAGGGCATAAATACCCGTAAACACGTAACCATTTTACCCTTCTTCACCCAAGATTCCCTGGCGGCAGAGGGGGACTTCTTGCCCCTGCTTTGTCTTCATCCCCTTGTGCTCAGGTCGGCCTGGGGCACAGGGTGGTCTGGGGAGGTGGGCTGACCGTGGTTGTGGAGGAGGCTTGCTTTGTAACTAGATTTTTTTTGTTGTTCTCTGGCTCTTATTATCTGGTGGTATTTTATACCACACCTTTATTCATTCCCTGGAACCATCTTTCTGTATTTTTTCAGAAATGTGTCTATAATCATGAGGACTCTAATTTTTGCAATTGGATCTCAAATGAAGAATAATTAAGCATGACTTCTGTGATGATGTGTCTCTTTCATTATGCCTGTTTTGTTTTTTTAGGATAGAATTGAAGGCATTCTCATAAAAATGCACTTGGAAAGGATCAGATCGTTGTTGAATGTAACTCTTCTGCTATTGATTTTTAGTCTGTGACACTAATTATTTTTCTTGTTCCTTTTGGTCACTGTTGAAAAAGCTGCGGTCGTTTCTGCAAGTAAGGAAATACAGTTTGGATCTAGCGTCTTTGATCCTATATGCCTATCAGCTTAGTACAGCCCTTGCATATCTGGAGAGTAAAAGATTTGTACACAGGTGAGACCGGTCATGAAGCTGGTGAGCTGCCTCTGAGTGGGGGGTGGGCGGAAGGAGGTTCTTCTCATGGTGCCTGAGTGCCCCTCTTGACTCCTATACAGACGGCGCTGAAAGTCCTGCTGTGTAGTGCCATGGCATGGGAACTCATGGAATTGAGGGGTTTTCCTCACATGGAGTTTGAATTTTCCTTCCACAGATACTGTTGACAGCCTCTATGTGGCACTGTGGACCTAAAACATATTGTCATGGAACTTTCTAGGACACCATAGCATCATGAGTAACATCTGTTGGCCTTCTGCAGAATTTCTGTTCTTAATCTGGGTCTCTACTTTGAGTACAAGTGAAAGCCCTTACAGTTCATTTGCCTAGTATTTGGTGTTGCAAGTGTTCTGAAGATCATTTTAATTGTATCTAATGAAATTTGTTAGTAACAGTAGGGTTACACACCCTGGCCCTGTACTGTCCATCAGTTATTGCAGTGGGCAATGTGATTGTATGAAAAGTAATAAGTGATTTCATTATTTAAGAATTTTCTTTGCCATCATTCAGGATACTAATCACCATATTATTGAGTGAGTAAATATCTGCCAAAAGGAATGTATTTGAAGTAAAACAATAAAAGCATCTCTCTTTTTCAGTGTATAATAAAGTTCCTATTTGTATTGTATATAAGCTGTCTTTCAAAGTACTTGTATGTCTTTATATAATATAGATCAATTTGTGGGGTTTTCCCCTCATATTAAAATTTATTGTTCCACATTCTTCCTTATTAGGGACATTGCTGCTCGTAACGTTCTGGTATCCTCAAATGATTGCGTAAAATTAGGAGACTTTGGATTATCCCGATATATGGAAGATAGTACTTACTACAAAGGTAAGAAATCAGAGCAACAAGTAGGAAATATGCTCAGTGATCTTTTAGCTCTTAAAAATAGTACATTTTAATGTGCTCGGCTGAGCTTTGACGTAGGTGTGTAGTCAGGTCTATGGAGCAAGGACAGCCTTCCCGGTGAAGGCGCTAGAACAATTGGTCATCCCTGGGCAAGAAACAGCCCGCAACCTACACTCACTCCCCGTTAACTCAGACCCGTCATAGACTTAGTTTCAAGACCTAAGACTGTGAGACTTTTAGGAAGAAAAATAGAGGCCAATCTTTTGAATCTAAGGCTAGGCGAGTGAGGAAGAGTCCTTGGATTTGACACTAAAAACATGCAAAAAGGGAAAAAGTAATAACTTGTTCCTCATCAGAAGTTAAAACCTTTTGTTCTGCAAAAGACCTGGGCAGATGGATGGAAAGACCAGTTACAGAGCGGGAGGAGATATTTGTTAATCACATCCCCAACAAAAGACTTATCTGGGCTACAGAAGGAACGCTCAAAACTCACAGGTGAAAAGGGAAAGTACACAGGTAGAAAAGGGGTAAAAGATAGGAAGAGAGATTCCTCCACAGGCTGTTCGGGCAGCACAGGGCACATTACCCCTGGGGAAGTGCAGAGTGAGCCACTGAGAGGTGTCGGGCACACCTGTCGGGGTGGCCATGGTCACAGCAGTGATAGCACGGAATGCTGGCAGACATGCAGAAGGCAAGGCAAATTACTTTGTGAGTTGTTTGTGAGGATGTTAAATGTAAAATGATAAGCCACTCTGGAAAAGAGTTTTGCAGATTCTTAAAAAACTAAACATGCACTATCTTATGACCTAGAAATAGACACCTAGGCATCTCACGCAGAGAAATGAAAGCTCACATTTACACAAAACTGGTGTTTGTTCATTGCAGCTTTATCTCTAGTTGCTGACAGCTGGGATCAACTCAGACGTCCAGCTCCTGACCCTCTACCTGGTAGACACAGCTCACCACCTCCCAGCGGAGGGGTGGGCACCCTGGATCAGTGAACACAGTCTCCCCGAACTTCCCTCAGAGCTCCAATCTGCTGACTCCAGAGACTTCTGTCCTTTAGTTTTGGAGCTGAAATCTAGCTGATGCGATTTTTTTCTTTAATTTTGCCAATCTCAGAATCAGATTGACTTGGTTCTTCAAGTTATTATTAATTTTCATATTCTTAGTACTTGAGCTAAGGGTTAGACTGTTAAGTCTGTTGGCTGTGAGTTCATGGCCGCTTCCTGCCCTGCTCCCCACCTCCCCACATCACCCCAAGTGACCAGCACCAAAAGGAAGGGAAAAGTGGTTCTCCCAAAGACCCCATAGTGGAAATCTCATCTGGTTCTAACTGTGAGGTCCCTAAGCAAATAACAGGGAGGTTTTACTTTCTAAAATTAATCTTCCAGCTTCCAAAGGAAAATTGCCTATTAAATGGATGGCTCCTGAGTCAATCAATTTTCGACGTTTTACCTCAGCTAGTGACGTGTGGATGTTTGGTGAGTATTTGAGAACTTCTGTGGTTAAAGTTACAGTTTGTATGTTCTCCAGAATAAACTTGACGCTGTCTGGTCAGTTGGAAGTTGGTCTGCCCTCCCCTGCCCGACCCCCCTCATCACACGCCATCCTCACTCCTTTGACGCAGGCCTCCTCCTCCTTTGCAGGGTAAGCTTTTTGCTCCCTTCCTTCCTCTCTGCCGTCTTCTGTGTGGCCTTACTTTTATGTGAGTGATGTCAACGGTTGACCTGCACATTGGGTGACTTGATGGTCCCCAAATCCAGTGTGTCTGAGACTGACTGCCTTTCACATCTCTCTGGAGTCTGACCTTCTTCCCAGCTTGTCTCGAGGCTTGAAAGCTTGTCCTGTCGCGTCGTGTAGCGCTGCTGCTCCGATGTCCCCCCGCAGTCCCCTTCTTGCCCTCTGTGTCCCCGCAGAGCCCCCAGGTGTGCGTGCACATGGCTGACGTTCATCCTGCAGCGCCTCTTCCCTCTCCCCACCCGCACTTGTAAATGACTCACCTTTTTGGTGTGGGTGATGCTCCGTCTCCGCCCTGCTTTCCAGACAGCTCATCCTGACACCCTTTCCTCCTGTTGAAACGTCCCCTTGGCGCGCGTGCAGCATGTGTGCCGCCCGGCCGCACCCCTGCGCATGCTGTCTCAGTCACAGCACTCACACATCCACCCTGTGCGTGGCCCTGTGTGCGTATTTGTTCGGCTGGACTTCAGACAGCTTCCCAGGAGATGCTCTGTCATGTTTATGCACCTTCTTCCTGTAAATAAAAGCAGCTTGATGTTCCTCAAGTATGTGTTCTCATTTTTTCTTCTGCTTCCTTGCTGTTGACTTTCAACAGCCATTTAGTGCCTTAACCCATATTAAGTGAAAGAAGGAATTCAGTAAGACAGGAAACGGTGCCCTACGATTGGAGAAGGGGCTACAGTTCAGCTGGCTTCAGATCCTAAGACCTCACTGTCTGCTTTGCGACTCAGGTTAAGCAGGTTGCTTAACCTCTCAAGGGAATTCCACATTTCAGGGTCTGAGATGCCTATTTGTTTTTTTCTTCACATTTCTAGAACTAGGATTTGTGACAAATCAGTGGTATCTCAAAGTTGGTGTCATTCCAGGTGTTTTATGTGGTTACTTGCATGCCCTTGTGTAGACTTTGTTTTGTTCATATCAGTGCTTCTTTCTTGTCTGAATGAGTTTAAAAGAGCTCTTTGGTAAGAATAAAATAATTGTAAGAGGTAACAAAGGATCCGGTTATTAATTTAGTTGGCAGCATATTCCCTCCTTTTCTGGTAATATAAAATAATAATGCATCTTAAAATCCATAGCATCTTAGATATCATAAACAACAGTTTTTAAAAAGATGTAAGGTGTGAGGATTAAGGATGATGTAAATTTCAAGGAAGAGTTCCAGACACACATTGAAGTCTCAAGAAATGACACCTGGTTTTGTCATTACTAGTGATACTGTCATAATTACTGGTGAGAAAAAAAAAAAAAGAAGTAAGGCAATTGGTGGGGGCGGGGGGGACGGTCATACACTCTTCAAAATCGTTGGCTTTTGGCTAATTTCAGATCTAATTCACATTGACGTGAAGTTGTGCCTCCCTGTCTGAGGCACACACCAGCTTAGGTGCTGAAGATGCCAAAAGACAGTCATAGCCCCTCTGCCCCTGCCCCGGCACCATGTGTACGGGGCACGCTTGCGATGGGGCAGACGGGAGCTTCCAGGGTTGGGGGTGGTGGGCAGGGCAAGGAACTCACAAAGTGACCTGCAAGAGGAGAGCTGTGACGAAGATGATGAGCGGTATTGAATCTAGAGAGTTCAGCACCAGCAGAAGCTCTAAGGAGCGTGTTCTCAGGCACATCTGCATGGTCAGACTTGAACTGTAGGGTTTTCTCTGTCAGGTCTCAGGCCAGCTGCTGTGATCATGAGCAGGTTGGACTAAAGTGGAAGGGGAATCTGAAATGCATTCAGCATTTTTAAAATCAGTTCACTGAGCTATTCTGTGAAGTATCACTATAGCTGGGGGGCAGTGCGTTTTCTAGTGTGGATTTTTTAATGAGATAAACCTCTTAGACAAACTTTTTTTGTTGTTGATAATACTGTGTCATTATTCCCATCCTACTAAACTAGCGGTCCTGTTTCTGTTTGGTAGCAGAGCTAACTGAGCGTTGCTTTACTTGGCCCATGTGCCAGCTCTGAAGTCACCCCTGAAACGTGGGAACTGCCCTCCTCCTGCAAAGTTCACGGCTGTGTTTTTGCTCCCACCCCGCAGGTGTGTGTATGTGGGAAATCCTGATGCATGGCGTGAAGCCCTTTCAAGGCGTGAAGAACAATGACGTGATCGGGCGCATCGAGAATGGGGAGAGGCTGCCCATGCCTCCCAACTGCCCTCCCACCCTCTACAGCCTCATGACCAAGTGCTGGGCATACGACCCCAGCCGGCGGCCCCGTTTCACTGAGCTCAAGGCTCAGCTCAGGTAGGAGTGGAGGGGGGCGGCCGGGCCGGGCAGGGGTGGGCACGGGCCTCGGCCGCCTTCCTCCTGCAGAGCCTCCTGTCAGTACATCTCGGGCAAGCACAGTCACCTTACTGACGGTGTTTCTTTACACCCCGTTAGTCTTCAGAAGCATGTGTCTTAGAGTCTTCCTAAAGTTGAGAAGGTGATCAGATCTCCCTGGCCTGACTGCTTGGCGCTGCTCCCAGGTCCTTTCAGACCTGGTCCCAGCTCAGCTCTCCATCTCTCTGCACACACTCCGCCTTCTGCTCCAGCTGCACCCAGCCCCTGACCACCTGCACTGCTCACTGCCTTTCCTTCCACCCCTGCCCCCGTTTGCCCCCAGGGTGCCCCTCTTCAGTCTTCACAGCCCAGCTCAGGTGTTGCCACCCTAATCCCACCCACCCCAAAAGAGACACACCCAGTCCTGTGGTACCTTCTGAGTGCTTATGTTATCACAGTTCAGACATCCACCTTACGCGCTCAGCTGCCTTCTGTGGCTCCTGCTCTGTCTGTGCCAGGTGCCGTTAGACCCAAGCCTGCAGCAGCCACATCCCCTGGGGGAGCACACGGGGCTCCTCAGTGTGCTATGTCCAGAGTGGCTGCACAGAGCTGACCGGCCACTGGGCGGCCTTCGTCCAGCTTACGCATTCCTGTAGCCCTGGGGCAGAGCTTAGGACCAGTACCTCATCCATGCTCAGTAAGCAGTTGTTGCATTAAGTCTAGATTGAGGCTTAATACTTGAATCAGCAGGACACTTTAATATACATAACCCAGCCAGCCAGCACCATGGTTGAATGTGCCAAATCACCTGGCTCCTATTTGGGGTACTCCCTGATCTTAGGTAAGTTTCTTTACCTGCTGTGTTTTAGTCTTTTTTCATAAAAATCAGTGAATGTGGGTGCAGAACCCCAGGCAGCTCCTGTAGCCCACCCTCACTACCAGGGCTTGAACCCTCTCCAGCCTGGCTTAGCACAGAAAATGATGCCAGGAGGGAGCAGGGCCCAGGTGCGAGCTGGGAGCCAGTCGTCTGGTCAGCAGTTGTTTTGCTGCGTCTCCTCGTTCTAGGCTAGGCTCTGTGGGTCCAGAGGGAGCATGCACAGTCCTTACCCCGGATCTTGAAGTCTGGTGGAGGAGGCAGGGGTTGACGTCCTTGGCCGCACCGTGACTGCTGCGACGCCCAGCAGCCCGCCCACCTCTGTCCTGCTGCAGGGCCTCTCTGTGATGGTCCCTGGGGCCTCTTGAGAGGGCTTTCTGCAGGCTGAGAGTCTCCGTACAGTTCAGCTGCACCCACTGCCTCTGTCGGGCTCGCTTTCAGACATGCTTCATTTCGTGGTCTGCCCCTGTGTGTGTCTGCCTCCTTGTTGACCTTTCCTCGGAGTCTGACAGTTTCTGTCCCTGAACCGCTCCACTTTGATGCCGGGCTCCGTGTGCGTCCTTCCCTGTCACTCGGGTTATCGACCAACTTGTGCTCATCCCCTCAGCCCCTTCTGGGTTCAATTTCCTAACCCGCTGTGGCTTTGCTCCCAGCTCCATCTGCCGTTAGCTCCGGTTCTGCCTTTTCTCACCTGCCCCTTTTCTGTCCTGGGCTCCCTGCTGCAGGACACTGTGTGTCCTGGAGCAGAGCTGCTGTGGCTTCTCCTGCCTGGCTCTTGCCCTCGCCTTCTGTGGGTCATGGTGGGGCCTTTGTCTCCACCGACATCAGGAAGCCGTCAGTAATTCCCTGCCTGCCTGCCCGCACCAGCTGACCAGCTAGGGAATCCTCACCTCCGTGTCTGCAGACCTGCTCCCCCCGCCCCGCACTCCTCACCCGTCAGTCTTATCCGAACTCCCTGCTCAGGGCAGCTTTCAGTGGGTTCCTGCCACCCCCTGTCAAGTAGAGGCTTCCAGAGTAGCAGCTGGGGCTTCTCGAGTCTTGGCCGGGACCCTCCTGCCCTTTCTCACACCGTGGCCACGCTAGCCTGCGCCTCGGCCTGGAAGGCGCCCGCCTGCGCCTGCCAAGATGGGCCCTGGCATCCTCCTCGGCCTCCTCCCTGCTCTGCCTGCAGGCTGCCCGGAGCTTTGGCTGCTTCTGGCCACGCTCGCCCTGCACAGCCACAGGCGGCCGTGGCCCGGTCCAGTCGGCTGCCCCAGCGCTGGGCACCGCGTGGCTGGGCCGGTGCTGGTCAGTGGGCAGGAGGACCAGACACTTTTCCTGCCCTCGAGGAGCTCACAGTCTAGTACGTCTCATCCCCTACTAGACTGGAGCTCCTTGAGGACAGGGATCGTCATGCTCACCTCGGTGCCGCCCGACCCTCAGGCCAGGCTCCGGGACCCAGTGAGGACCACACAGCCGCCGAGCCGTGCTCGGCGCACGGCAGTGCTGACGCGGCTGGAGGATGGCGGCGTGCAGGTGGGGTGGCTCCCCAGAGCGTCCCGGGCGAGGGTTCAGGGCTAAGTGCAAGCGTTTTACACACACACACGTATAAAAACATCAGGTCCCAGTTTATAGATGTTTTCTTGTGAACAGGTAGCACAGGTCATTAAGTGTTAGTTTATCCTGTTTGTTTTGTATTAGTCAGAAATGAAGCTTAACTTTGTATTTGGAACATGTAGAATATGGCTACCAAATAAACCAAATAAAATATAACTTTGCAACATAATAGCTTACCTGAAAAAAAAAAATAGCTTGCCTGGATTATGTAACAATGAATCACAAACAAGAAAGTAGAATCTTTTAGTGACTTTTCCAAAAGTTTTATTATATGCAAGATTCAAAGAAAATAATAAATTTTGGGTAATCCTTACCCCAGGTCACTTAAAAATGTTCCCCAATCCCATTCTCCTTGTCTGCCATAAGAGAAACACTGCAGACAGACTCAGGTTCTCATGGGCTCCTCTCTGGGATGGGACCACCGCCTGTTTTCACTATGTCCTAAGTTAGGAACAGTGGCTCTCAGAGACTCTCGTTGGCAGAGGGTCCTACTGGGATGGGTCAGCTCTGACCGAAAGGCTGGTCCTCCTCCTGTCCCGGGTCCTTGTTCGTACATGTGCCTCACTGAGGAGAATGAGGTCCAACTCTCAGCAGCCTGTTGGCGAGTGTAAGAAATCCCTCAGCAGGAAATTTCTCATAGTGTGTGCCCTAGCATTTCGTACTGTGTTCCTGACAAGTTACAAGAGTGCACTGAATATTCTTTGAGTGAAGGAATCATTTAGTCTCTTGCTGGTTCAGTTCATTGTGTGGCAGATACTGTGCCAAGGAGACCACATAAACCACGGGTGTATTGTCCCCTTTGGAGGTTATGTTCAAAGTTAGTGTTGCTGAGCAGTGCTCTGTGTGACTAAGACATCTGTGCTTCCTTATAGGAAGAAATTGTCAGCTTTATCTCAGGAAAGCATTTAACATGCGGCTTCTTAAATCCCTTTTAGACGAATGCAATAAATAAAGTTATCCATTTAAATTTTGTACCTTAATTTTTGTTATTTAAAAAAATTTTTTGTTGACATGCAAAGATGCAAACTTGAAGACATGCCAAGAAGTAAACTCATTGAATTTTCATAAAGGGCAAAGTAACCAGAACAAGAAAACAGCATTGTCTGCACCCCAGAAACTCACTGGAGACCTCTTTGCAGTCAGTGCTCCCCACAAGGGTAACCGCTCACCACAGGTCGGTTCTGCCTGTTTTTGAGCTTTACGTAAACGCCCCCATTCAGTGTTGCTTTTTTGTTTATGACTTACTTTTGCCCAAGATTTAGTTTGAGATCACTGTGTTACTCAGCTAGTTGTACCTCATTCTCGTTGCTGTATGTGCTCCACTTATGACTCGACCGTAGTTTATCTCTTCTACTACTCTCCATCTTGGGGCTTTGAGACACAGACAGCATCAAGACTGCTGCTGTGTGGGCATACTAGATGTGTCTTTGGGGAGCATGTGTGCACAAACGCCTGGTGGGTGCATGTTCACGCATCCACGTGCGTGCAGGCTGTAGCTGTATGTACCGACAGCGCCTGTTTTTCTACGAGGATGTGCCCGTGCAGCATCCCCAGCAGTGATGAAAGCTCCTGTTGCTTCAGCCATGGTTTTTTAAACCTTTGGTAATTGATCCTTGTTTCTAAGCTGTCGTTTTCACATGTGAAGGGTAGGTTAAACAAACAAACATAAGTGGTATGCACACAGTTGACCTGATCTTTTCGATCCTAAAGAACACTGACCTAGTAAGTGTCTGCCTGGAAGGCCCCCCGGCCCTGGGCGCTTCAGGAAGCCCAGCAAATGGACACTGCTCACCAGAAGCAGGTCTCCATCCTCTGCAGTCACCTGTAGAAATCACCGCGTTGAAAACCAGTGTGGACTGAGTGCCCCGAACCCGCACACAGTACCTCACCTGAACCCTCACAGTCCTTGGAGGCGTAGGTGATGTTGTCATCATCAGTTTACAGGTGAGGAAATGGAAACAGGCCAGGTGGCTGACCAACCGCGGGTTACGACCTGGGATTCAAGGCAAGTCCGCCTGAGTCCAGGGCACAGGCTTTCAGTTGTCACGCTCAGCGCTTTGATCTGAGACCCAGCGAAAGTCAGTAAGCTCCCAGGCTATGATTATGACTGGTGGGCAAACTCTTAACACTGTTTAGTTTAAAAAGAAAAAGAAGAAAGAAAGAAAGAAAACGACTGGTACACGGAATTCCCGCAGCCGGTTTTCTTATATTTGCTTGAGTGTCAGGCAGAGAAAGTCCCCCAGAACAAAGGCAGCATCTCTGGCTTAGGCACAGGGGCCCCCACTCAAGGACTTTGAAGGGTGGCATAATTTCCATGGGTTATCACTGTTGTGCTGTTACATCTGGAATGTGCTGCGTCTGGCCGCTGTGGCCCTCTGTGATTGCAGCGTCTGTGGGAGCAGTTCTGTCAGTTTTCCGTGAGCGTGAGTCCCTCCAGGGGCACTTGATGGCAGCTAGAGGCAGGCCACCCAGTGTGCGTTAGCCAGAGCCTGTACTTGCCTGCCAAGTCCTC